CCCCCTTCCCGGGAATCAAACCCAGGGTTCTCGTCTGTGAGGCAAGTGCTATAACCACTGAACTACAGGACTCCACCTGTAGTCCTGCATTTGTGTACTTTTTAGAAGTGTTTCATCAGTTCAACTCCACTCTTAATAACGGACAGTCTGTGTGTAATAGAGATAAACTCCACATTACTAAAAAAAATCAGCAAATTCAGCAGTGAAAAAGTTAGTGGATTCACATGTATATATTTATCATTGAGGTTTAACTCTTTATATGCTTGGATCTAGCTCTCCATTTTAACCATTACAAGCAAGAGACCTGGTTCAATTCCTGGCAGGCCAAAATCTTGGGCAAGTTTCTTTACTCCACACGCCTGATAATAATCCCTCAAGAAAGAAAAAGTAATAATTTGGTCACACAATCCACGACTGTTTGTGGGGACCCTGCTGTGTGCAACTGGCTGCCGGGTTTCGCCCACAAATATACAGTCAATTTACTTTACAGTATATTCTGTGAAGCGCTTTGAGACGTCTCAAAGACATGAAAAGCGCTATATGAAATGCAATGATTATTATTATGATTACAGCTGGGAAGACCAGTATCCTTCTGAGTGGGAGTTGTATAGGATCAGACAAATGGGACAGTCTATGCACACGGCAAAGGCTTCTTGTTTAACCACAGGTTCTCTAATGAATGCAACCAGGACACGAGTTTGGATGGATTACATTCCACATAGTGGGGCAACTGCATTGATGATAAAATCCCACTTCTACACATTATTAATAACCTGCAACTTATACATTGCATAGCGTATTCAGTGAACATTGGTAGTGGGGCTGTTTCTCACACATTTATTTTAAAATAAATAAATCTTTTGGTACCAAAAGAGAGCACCTTGTTCTTTGCTGGTCCCAGCTTCTCTATTGGAGTTCACACCTCTAGTCCCAATACTCAGCTTCCCCTCCGCCCTTACCTTTTCATATTTTTCCACATCAAATATTCATCCGATTCTCTTTTTAAATGCTGTGATCTTGGCCTCAATAACCACTTATAAATCAAACAGTTAAGGGGAATAAATACTTCATCACAATGGCGAGGCTCAAAATCAAAACTGCTTAATGAGGAAAAACCCTTTTGGTCAGACACAAATTAACATTGCAATCAAATCTGTTTTGAAACACCCCCCCCCCACACCACTCACCACCACACCTGCGTTTGGTCAACATAACGAAAACCTCAGTAGGAAGACACGAAAATCCTTCTTTTACTTTTGATGTTCATTTAAAGTGAAGGTTATAGCGTATTAACACACAATGTCAGTTTCAGGTGTGGCCTACATTCAGAACTGAGAGTCAATTTCCTTCCACTATGCCCCCAAAATACACCTTAGCCCCCAATGCCTGTTAAAGTACACCTCACTGTTATCAGTTTATTTTTCCCATTTCTTATGTCAGTCATTCTTTTGGGTCTCTTTGAGTGACCGCCAATTAGTGCTGAATTTAGAATAATGACCATTTAAAAGACATGAGGTTGCCCAAATTTCCCATGGGACCATTACCGCCAGTATAAGAAGAAACTAAATTCAATCCAGCAGTCTGTGATGCACTCAAATTCTGGTCCTTTTGGTTTACCTTTTACAGTAGTAACATGCTGTCTGCCTTGGCGAAGTGATAGACTCTCGTCAGAAGGTTGTGGGTTCAAGCCCCACATCGGGGCTTGGAAACACAGTCTAAATTGACCTTCTAATGCATCGCTGGGGCTATGCTGCATTGTCGGAGATGCTATGCTTTGGATGAGATGTTAAAAAGAAGTCCCGTCTGCCTGTTAAGGTTGACGTTAAAGATCCCATCGCGCTATTTGAAAAGAGAAGGGAGTTTTTCCCCAGTGCGTGACCAACAAATCCCCCAAATAAAATTGGTCACTCACTCCATGGCTGTTTGTGGGACAAAGCAGGCTGCCACATTTTGCCCACAAAATACACAGGGAATCAATCCACTTTACAGTATATCCTGTGAAGCGCTTAGAGGTGTTCTTCTGACGTGAACGGCACTTTATCAAATGCAAATATTATTGTTAAAAAGGAGCTCTAACCCACTTCACTACCCAGAACCTCAAAAAGCAAAACTTGTGAACGAGTAAAGTTCAATAAACTACTATTAGCATCACTTGGCCCTCCTGCAAGAAAATATATGAAACTCTTCTCAAGGAATTTATTGTTTCTTTTAATAAAACTTGCAGTGCACTTTGTAGATTTTATATTTCTGGAATCAACCAATTTTGGACTCCCCACAATCTGTACTTCCTGAAGTTTCAGTTTGAAAGAGTATAATGTTCTGTCTCGCACCCCCACCCCACCCATCTAAATCTATGTTTAACTGGAATCTCAAATGGAGAGGCCAAATAACACTGAGGAGCATAAAAGTTGCTTCATATTGTATTAATGTGCCTTGTATGCTCGCAATAGATTCTACTAAAATTGAGAAGACATTTTACTTTAAAAGAGTATCTAAAAACTCATGCATGGCACAATTTTTTTTAGTGGAATAAAGTAGAATATCATTTGTGAACATAAAGCTTTTACAATTCGTGCATGGGTTACACTGACTCATGGATCAGATGACATTCCACAAACCCTCTGCTGAGAAGCCTTGAATTCACCGGCAGACAGAATCTATTCTGAAATTGAAGCAATCTCTGTTAATTCTTGGGTAAGAATGGTGCATCTGCTAATTACCATATCTTGTCCACAATGAAAGTTTTTTCGAGAATTAGGAAGACGTTAAAACAATACAACTTCTAATGTCTTCTTTTAATCCGATCCAACGTCGCAATAAAAAGCATTTAATTTCAAGAGCTTTCAGTTTAGAGAGATTAATTTGTTGTGATCAACCGTAATTTAACATACAAACAATCTAAAGTCTTTCCATGTTCAGCCTGGTTGCAAATGTCCACATAGTTTGCCATCTGAATACATTTGTATCTCAACAGGAGCTGACTCCAATCCTCTCCCACAAGTATTCAACATTTTCACCACAAAATCCACTTTCTCATGACATAAACCCTTTGAATACTTCCCTGGCTTCTCATTTTCTTACATTTCCTTTTTTACACTGATTTTCGTTGCATCCTTTTAACCGTATTAATTTCAAAGCCTGCTGCATCTCAAAACGCGGCCTGCAAATCAAACTGTTAATAATGGGGCTCCACTGTATGAGCAATTTGTTACACAACCTTTATTTTTTTTACGTTTCTTTTTTGACAAGGTTTCAGCATGCCAAAGAGAAAAATCTCGGTTTCATTTTAAAAATTCATTTAACTTCCACATCAGCTATTCCAAAATGTAGGCAATGTTCACCTTTTTTGGGGGGAAAAGAAGAGCCTTCTGCGCAACCGAAGTTCTATTTAACACTCTGTATTGCCAACACTCCCCAACAATTAACTCTCAATTCACAAGATCACGACAACGCACATTGGAGTGTTAATGGAATATTGACCCAAATAATTTATTCGGATGAAGAAAAACAATTGCATTACAAAATTGTCAAGAGGTTTAAAGAGGCATCTACATGCTGGAGGCATTTATTTACTGGATAGAGTAGAAAAACACAGCTAACAGTGCACAAATCATTTGGGTGGCTTTTGTTGCATTAACATTTTTGGCAGCTTGTCTATTTGATGGTTTTACTTCCATTTTGCCAAATCTGCTGGGTTCTTTTTGAAAAAGAGATTTAGTTTAACGGTGAGAAAGTTGTGGCCTTATCTGAAGTGGGCCATATTGTATTTAGGTGAAGTTTATTACTCCCTCTCTGGTGCAATTTTATGTTTATTCAAGATCATAGTAGGTGGCTCCTTTGCTTACCGAGGAAATTTGACCTCAACAATTAATCTTCACCTAAATTACAATATTTGATTGTTTATGACTGTTTAAACAAAAGTCTCTAAGTGCATTTAAGAACCCTTAATACAATGTTTTAACTCTAACATGTCCTAGAGAGCCAGAGAGAGCGAGAGAGAGACAGAGAGAGTGAGAGACAGAAATGGATAGATGGAGAGGGAGAGATTGATAGAGAGGGAGAGATAGATAGGTAGAAAGAGAGAGAGACAGAGAGAGAAGTGCACCTCTGCTTTGTAAATTTATTTGGAAGTAAAAACAGTGAAAATATACAGGGAAAAAAATCTACTATCCTAAATCAAATTATCAGCACAGTATAACTTACTAACTTGTCCATTTTTTGTATGACAATAACTACAGCTAACACTAAAAACTGATACTATTATTACTGTCATTTACATCTTGTTAAAGAGAAAAATGCAAAATCGACACATATGAAACTGCAAAAAGAAACTTTTAAAGATCAAAACATTTAAAGTTTCTTTCCCTCCCCCGCCCTTGACACCACGAAAGCTAAGAAAATATCAAAAGTGAAGGTACCATCATACAAAGTTCTTAAATTGAGGGAAAGGTAACATGTCACTTAAATTATTTGTACATTTTTTTTTACATTTTTGCTCGCTTTCAGGCTCTTGTAGCCTGCAGGCAAATATAACTGTCCAATGTGCATTGAACAGTGTAGATAGCGAACAATTGGATGAACTCACTATTTGTAAAACTACCCTTTCTTTTTAAATTGGAAAAGTGCTCATAATCGTGTTCTGAACACGCTGATCGATAGGTTCCAAAGCACTCCATCGAACTTCCTCCAGATTGGCACCATCACCGGAGATAGACGTTAAAGCATCCCAGCTCAAAAGGGTTAGTTAGCCTGGTCCTAAGAAGTCCTAGTTTAGCTTCTCCCAAGCAGTGGCCATTGTTAATCCTCCACACAAAGTCGTCTGCCTGAACAAGGGCTGTCTTCAATGCCTCGATACAAGAAAGTGAGGTGTGTGTGTATATGCACTTGTGTGTGTGTGTGTTTGTGTGTGTTTTGCTTTTACGAATTGTTATTTTTTTTTCCTTTCCCCAACCCCCCCCCACCCCACCCCACACGCCACCACCCCCTCCCTGCCTTCTCTCTCTTTTTTTTTCAAATGACACAGTAAGCTTCTCTGGGCGTCTGTGTGCTTTGAAAGCAAGGGAAATGGGTTCTGAAGCAAATCCGTATCTCCTTGTTGAAGATAAAGCACAGGATGGGGTTGACTCCTGCCTGAGCAAACGTCATCCACACGGCAGCAGTCAGGTACACCTGCGGGATGCTGGTGGCCTTGACGAATACTCGCAGGTAGCAGGCCACGATATAAGGGGACCAGAGGAGCAAAAAGAGGACGGTGATGATGTAAAACATCCTGCCTATCCTCTTCTCCGCCTTGAACTCGTCCAAGACCAGCAGCCGTTTGTTCTGATTGTGTGATGTCTGCCGGATGCCCACCAGGGTGGGTGGCGTGGGACCCCTCCCGAAGCCGGCGATCCAGTTGGCCGCAGCTTGTCCTGTGGCCCCGGGTCCGTGAAACGTCCAGTTCTGGCTGATGGCCGGGATGAGCTGGGCTGGCTTCATCTTCCTGTGGTCGTAGACGAAGAAGATGAGCTTGATGTAGACCACGTGGGTGGCCGCCACGATGACGGCTAACATCAGCATGAAGCCCAGCGTGTCGTTGGCCTTGACGTAGCGGTGCTCGAAGATGCACTGGTCCTCCTCGCGGATGAACTTGTAGGTGCCCACGTCGAAGACGGGCGGGAAAGCCATGGCCACCGACAGGGTCCAGACCATGCAGATGACCGCGGCACAGGTCCACGAGGTCATCCTCTTGGAGTAGAAGCGATGGTGAGCCACCGCCATGTAGCGGGTGATGCTGATGCAGAACATCATGAAGGCGGCGTGGAAGCAGAAGAGGACGGCGGCAAAAGCCACCACCTTGCAGCTGACCAGGCTATAGGTCCACGACGAGCCGCGGCTGATGGACACCATGACGAAGGGGAAGCAGAGCACGGAGCGCACAATGTCGGCCAGGCACAGGTCCAGGAGGAAGTAGTAGGGGGCCCGGCGCAGGCTCCGGTCCCTCAGCGTCAGGAAGGACAGGAGCAGGTTGCCCGCGAGGCTCACGCAGATGATCAGCCCCAACGAGGCCAATTTGACGGCGGACGCGGTGATGGCATAATCCTGGAGAGAACTGTTGGCCTCTTCGCGCTCGCTGGCGTTCGCCATCTATGCTACCACGTAATCGTCAGATCTCTTTCTCCCTTCCCTCCCTCCCTCCCTCTCTCCCTCTCCCCCTTCTCTTTCCCTTCTTTCTCCCTCTCCCTCCCTCCCTCCCTCCCTCCTTCCCTTACCCCCAAGCCTAGACTCTTCCCGTTATTCGCAAACGAACCAAGTCTCAGTCAAGTCAATCAGTCAAGTCAAGTCAAGTCAGTCAATTTCTCTCCTCTCTCTCTCTCTTTCTCTCTCTTTCTCTCCTCACCCTCCTCCCATTTTTCTTCCATCGAAAAGAACCGACCACGCAAACAACGAAGTTCCTTTTAATCTTCATACCAACCCCAAATTGGGTTGGATATTCTCCCCCTCTCTCCCTCTCTCCTCCTCCTCCACCACCACCACCACCAGTGCCTTCTCTCTCTCCCCCTCTCCCTCTCTCCCCCAAATGCTCATGGTCCAGGGGCGTTGCTGAGGGGTGGGGGAGGATGGGGGAGGATGGAAGGGGTGGGGGGGGGGGGGGAGGGTGAGGGGTGGGGGTGGAAGGGGTGATGGGTGGGGGGTGGGGGGGGGTAAAGGAAAAAAAAATAAGGTTTCTATTCCACACTGCAGAGCATCCTGGTGAAAAAAAGGGGAAGACAAGGCATTGTTTTAAGCTGTTGGCAGAATCGAGCCATAGCCTTTCTTTCTTTCTTCTCTCTCTCTCTCCCTCCCTCCTTCCCCTCTTCCTTTATTTATCAAATGAACAAATAACGACAGATTTCCCCCTCACCCCCCCCCCCCCAAAAAAAAAACCACCCCCCACACCATCTGCTTTTTTTTCACATGAACAGCCTCTTAAGTCACATATACATCTCTCAAACCAACAGCCCTGAGCCAACAACAACAACAACACACAGAGAGACACAGACACAGACAGACACACACAGACAGACAGACACACACAGACACAGACAGACACACACACACAGACAGACACAGACAGACACACACACACTCCCCCCAAATAAAATGAAGGCTCACAGACCTCTCTGATGAGACTGACACACAGACAGATCCACTGGGTTGAAAAATCTAATACCTCTTTTTTTTTTCTTTTTCTCTCTCTCTCTCTCTCTCTCTCCTGGTGATTGTCAAGCAGCTGAACTTCCGGTAAGTGGTAATATAGAAGGATTTTTTTTTGTTGGGGGGGAGTGGGGGGGGGAGTGAGGATGGAGACTGCGCACAGTGTGGCAGCAGCTAAAATCCCAATCCCTTTGTGTTGGGCTAATGTACTGTATTATACCACTGATCTCCCACTCTCCCCCCCCCACCCCCACTCTCCTCTCCCTCCCCCCCCCCACACACACACTCACACACTCCCCCCTCCAACCCCTCTTTTCTCTTTCCCTTCCCCCCCCACACACACACTCACCATCATCTGTCAACACATCCCCTCCATCCTCTCCATCCTCTCCCTCCACTCCCACACACACACCATCATCTTTGCCAATACCCCCATTTCACCCATTCCCCCCCACCCACACACACCATCCCCCCCCCCACCCCACACACACCATCATCCCCCCCATCCCATCCCCACATCCCCCCACCCATCCCAGGATTGAAGCTGAAAGGGGAAGGAGGGAGAAGAGAAGGGGTTTGGGGTTTGGGGGGAGGAGGAGGAGGAGAAGGGGGGAGTGGATTGGGGGGTGTGGGTGGTGGTGGGGTGGGGGGGGGGGTAAGGGATCAGACCCTAATGGTGCAAGGATTTGGTGGAGGAATTGTGTTTCAGCCTCAGCTCAAGAGCAAGATCTGTGTGTGAGTGTTTTGTTTAAAAAAAGAATGAGTCAATTGCCTTCTGCTGCCCTGAACATCAGCAAAAACCCCAGCAATTTCCTCCTCTTCTCTCTCTCTCTCTCTCTTTCTCTGCCTCCCTCCTTCCCCCCCACTCCCCCCTTCCCCCCCCACCCCCACTCCCCTCCCTCCACTCCATCAGCTGCTGTAAACCAGAATAACCATCAAAGCATCACGTTTTCAAGCATCGGTGGCTTTTGCATTGCAAATCAAACAGAGTGATTTGTTTAGCAACGTGAAGAGAGTCCAAATTACCCCCCAACCCTCCCCCTCCCCACTCCACCCCCACTCCCCCCCTCCCCACCCCACCCCACTCCCCACTCCACCCCCACTCCCCCCACTCCCAATTCATATATATCTATATATAACGCGTTTCCAACATAGCAACATTAATACAGTACATGTTTTGTTACTTGATCGACCTCCACTCCCCCCCCCATCACCACCAACCTCCCCCCACACCTCCCCCCCATCACCACCAACCTCCCTCCCCTCCCCATCACCACCAACCTCCCCCCCTCCCCATCACCACCAACCTCCCCCCACACCTCCCCCATCACCACCAACCTCACCCCCCTCCCCCCCATCACCACCAACCTCACCCCCCTCCCCCCATCACCACCAACCACCCCCTCTCCCCCCCATCACCACCAACCTCCCCCCCTCCCCATCACCACCAACCTCCCCCCCCTCCCCATCACCACCAACCTCCCCCCTCCCCATCACCACCAACCTCCCCCATCACCACCAACCTCCCCCCCTACCCCCATCACCACCAACCTCCCCCCTCTCCCCCCATCACCACCAACCTCCCCCCTCCCCCCATCACCACCAACCTCACCCCCCTCCCCATCACCACCACCAACCTCCCCCCCATCACCACCAACCTCCCCCCCTCCCCCATCACCACCAACCTCCCCCCATCACCACCAACCTCCCCCCCTCCCCCATCACCACCAACCTCCCCCCTCTCCCCCCCATCACCACCAACCACCCCCCCTACCCCCATCACCACCAACCTCCCCCCCTTCCCCCCATCACCACCAACCTCCCCCCCCCACCCCCACCCCCAGTGGCATGTGAATTGGAGATGAATATTTCCTGTGTGCTCTGTATTCCACCTATAATGTACATTCCCAGTGTAAGTGGGTGGTGGGGGGGGGGGGGGGGGGCATATGCAGTATATAATGTGTGTGAGGAGGGAGGGGGGGGATATATATATATATTTAGTATATAATGTATGTGTGAGAGAGAGAGAGAGAGAGAGAGGGGGGGATACAGTGTTGCTGGTTATTGAGATACATTGGAGATCTCAATGAAACCTTTCCTGCTGTTGCAACCTCCCTCTCACCACTTTGATCATATATATTTCTCTGGGTGGGGGGGGGGGGGGGGGGTTTGGTGGAAACGAACAGATCTAAAATAAATAAATGCAATGCAGTTTTGCAAAACGTCCACCTTTTTTTTTTCGCGTTCATTCCCCCCCCCCTCCACCCCCTCCCAGGTTTTGAGCTAATAATGTAGCACAAAAGAATTAATAATCATCATCATCATCATCATAATTAAGCAACAATCGTATTTTTTTTCCTTACACACATCACACACACACACACACACACACACCCTGTGGCAAAATAGAAAGATATGGTAATGTATTCACTCTTTATTTTTTTTTTTGGAGGGGGGGTGTTGGTTTGGTTTTAGCATCAGCAAATTTACATTTGAAACAAACGCAGGTGGGGGCAGTGGGAAGGCTTTTTTTTAAATCATCTTTCAAGAAAAATCTGTATTAATTGGGAGTCTGTGATAGAGACAAATGCATCAAAGGAGGAGCTCAGTGCAAAGCTCTGTGTGTGTGTGAGATGTGATTCGCTTCTGTTGCAGCTTCTCTATAATAATAATAATAATAATGTACTTAATGTGCAACGCACCCCCTATGGACCCGTTTGCTCAAGTTCTGATGGTGCTATAAGGAAGCCTGGCTTCACGCAAATAATAATAATAATAATAATTATAACAATAATAATAATAATCCTTGCATTTGATATGGCGCTTTTCACGTCTTCTAGACGTCTCAAAGCGCTTCACGGACTACATATTTGCGGGAAAAACGCAGCAGCTAATTGTGCACAGCAGCGTCCCCACAAACAGTCGTGGATTGAAATGACCAATTTATTATATTTGTTTTTGAGGGATTATTATCAGGCGCGTGGAGTAAGGAAACTTGCCCAGGGTTTCACCCTGCCGGGAATCGAACCCAGGTCTCTCGTTTGCAAAGCGAGTGCTCTAACCACTGAGATATAGGACTCAACTAACTGTTCAGACCAGGAAAGCTCCCCTCTCCCTCACCCCCCCCCCCCCCCCCCCCCCCGCTTCCCCCCATTTTAAAATTACTTTCATTGTTTTACAGCCCGAATCAACGGAGCCATAATGTACTTGGATATTTTGGGTGAGTATTAAATGAGGTTACCCCAACCCCATTTAAAAGAAATCAAGTCCTGCTATTTTATCTGTGCTGGTTTTTAGCTTTAGTAATCCTTACGTTTGGTTTCACCCACAAAAAATATACAGTCACTACACTTTACGGTATATTCTGTGAAGCGCTTTGAGACGTCTAGAAGATGCGAAAAGCGCTATTTCAAATGCAAAGATTGTTATTATTATCAATGTCGTCCAACAAAAAAATTTTTCCTTATTGAATTTCTCTTCGTCTATAGCCACACTATGAGTATCGTGGCTCGGTGTCTTTTGAAACTTTGGTGCAGACTTGCCTGGACTGGTGCCGGAGTTTGGCCGGCCACTGCTTGACTCCGAGAAGTCGATCGCGATCGACCGGTTGGGGAATCCAGCTGTGGAGTGGAGTGACTGTGTGAGTGAATTTTACAAAAACTGTCTATAAAACATTTGCTGTATTTATCCAGTCACTGTTAGCATCACAGTCAATACCCAAATGATCAACAAACTGGTGGTTGCAAATCCAGGATTTGGAGAGCACTATTACCACAAAAACGCAGTCACTACACTTTGCAGTGTATTGTGAAGCGCTTTGAGACGTCTCGACGACGTGATGGGGCGCTATATCAAATGCATGGATTATTATTATTATTGGGATCCCGGGATTTGCAACTGCTATCAATGTTAACTTGAAAAATTGAATGTTGCTGTGTTCAAACCATGAGTGCTGATGACATGAATGCTTGAAGACATTGTTGGATCTCATCAGCCAAAGGACAAAAGTTACAGTTTTTAATGAAAAGGAGCAAAGTGTTTTTTAATTTAGAAATTCTGGAAGCCAACTTCAATCATTGTGCTTCACTTTGCCATGATACCTTCCTGTCCTTTGTTTCTTGTGTCAGTTAAGTCAGGTTTCCACCTTGAAGAAGACAATTTTATAGAGACATTTTACATCCTTGTAATTTAAAGTTAGAAATGTTTTTTTCCTCCTGGTACTGTACTCCCATTCTCCAATCTAGGCTGAACTTTGTTACAAATTACTGATAAGAGTTGTTTGCATTGAAGTGATTTAACTGCAAATTTTATCCAAGGTCTACATTGTGTTAACATTGCACAGTTCTGTAGAGTCCATTCAAATAGCAGCTGTTCTAGATTCTGGCTACTGGCAATGTGAATTAATAAGGTTAAAGGAGAGATTTGGATGAAGAAGGTCCTTTGGCCTGTTTGATTTCAGCCTTCCAGAATACCAACTCTCCCTTCTACCCACTAACCTTTTCCCCCTTCTTCTAATTATTTACCCCACATTGCCGATCTTGAACTCCATCCCCAAATTCCTCCGAGCAGGAAGCCAGAGCCAGCCGAGCGGAGGTCGCGGAGAGGGGAGAAAGCAAGTCGGAAAGGTAGGGGGGGGCGTCGCAGGGGTTGAAGGGGTACTAACACTTAGCATTTTTCAATTGCTCAAGTAGAGAGAGAGACCAAAATGTGGAGAAAACTGGGATAAAGGTCCATATACAAGATGAAAGTACCACATTTGCTCCAGTCACTGAATGATGTTTCGTCCAACTATACAGGTTCATTTGGGTGCATCATACAACTGAACTGTATGTTCTCCACCTCAGTTCCCCAACCATTATGCCATGAACCTCTGGATCTCCTTGCCTCAATCCCTCTGCCTTGCTTTCTCTTTGCCCATCTTCAAATCACATCTGAAGAATTTTCGCTTCGAACCTGCTTACGGTCACCTCCCCTTTCTCCCTGGCTTGGCGTCAAACTCCGCCGTTGTCCAGGGCTCCAAGACGCTCCCTCCGCGTGAAGGGTGCTATAGAAATGCAAGTCGTTGCAGTTGGTAATCAACAATCCCATTTCAAATTCGAGATATAAAATTAACTTAGCTACTTGCGACAAAAATATAATATTTTAACACACTCGGTTTCACATTCTCTATGTGCATTTTTTATGATTTACAACAGTCCAGGAATAAATACCCAATTGCCATTTCATTCTGTTCTGTAGTTATTGAAATTACATGATATGTCGCCATGTACCATACTGCAAAATGCACAGAGGAACCATGTCCACCGAGATTCACAATTTCATTATCTACTGATGTTAAATATTCTCCAGAGCATAATTTGTTCATCCTTTTCATTAGCTTCGAAGATCCCTTTGTGTACATTTTACAAATGTGCTTCCTTACTCATGTTTGAAAGCACACAGAATTGAGATAGAGGAGTATGAAATGCTGTACTGTTCAGACGTGGTTTCTTAACATTACAGAGTAACTTTAAAGTTTATCTCTGATTAGAAATATTTTATTGAGGATTGGATCTTAAAGAGGTGTGGTATAATATCAATAAACCTGATCCAAAACGATATAATGAGTCTATATCCAATCTGCCCATCTTGTATAAATTGATGTCTTACAAAGAATATCTTGAGATAATAATAATCCTTGCATTTGACATAGTGCATTATCATGTTTTCGACACACTTCAAAGAGCTTCGGGATTTAATGTCAAGTTTAGTGACTGTATTTTATAGGAAAACATAGGCCACAGAAGATCTTTTAAAATCTTGAAACATTTCAAAATTGTAATTTCTACACAACTTCCCAGACTGGAATTTCTAATTGTGTCTTCCCTCATTGTGGACTTTGCTTTTTACCCCTTGTTTGCTGATATAAAAAATTCAATTGGATTTTTTGTTTCTAAGATTGATAGACCAATTACCTTACTCTGGAATAGTATAAATTTGTTTTGTGTCAAGAACATGGCCGTTTAAAATCCTGGTTACCCATGAAAAAGAAGGAAAACATTATCTGCTGTATCAAGGAGAACTTGAAATCTGTGTAACTGAGTATGAACAAACAAAAGATCAAGATTAGCTGACAGAAATGCAAGCATAAGAGCTGACATATCTTATCTTTTACCGTCAAGCTATGAATCTAAATTGTTTCGTTTCCAGAAATAATTGAAATGTGGTCAAAAGCTAAATGCATTTTGCTTAACATCAATACATGGAAAATGCTAATCTTTTCATCTAAGAGGTAAAGTCTGGGTGCTTCAATATAAAGGATACTTAGTCTGTTTACAAATGTTTCTACACAAGTCAAACAAATGCACAATTTATTAAATATGCATGTAAATTGCTTTGGACAAGAAATATACAATCAGCACTGCTGAAGACATTGAAACTCTTTTGCATAAAACTCCTTGCCAATTGTTTGTATAATCTCAATAATGACCTTTCAGATTATCTGCCTTCTGCTTTAGTATTTCAAACAAACATACATTGTATTGTGATGACACAAAGGATCCAGAAATGCCTGAGGGTAGTTCGTGATTATGGAAAATATCACTGTTCAAATAACAATTGCTTCTGACGATGTGTTATCTCTACCCAGTGTGAATGGAACCATATAAATGCAAGTTGTTGTTGTTGTTGTTGGCAAAGATCATCCCACCCACCCCCTGCAGAAGTGTTTATTCCAGCGTCAACAGAACTTGAATTTCTTGCTTATCAAGAAATGCCACATAGGAGATTGGGCCCATCGTTGCAACAATGGCTTCAACAGAATAGAAGTTGCAACATCAGATAACACTTTATTTAAATAGATTCCTGAAACAAATTCAGACCGGAGAACTGCCATCTGAAATTCCAATCGTGCTGTTATCTTTGGCAATGCATGATTTATATAGTAATGATATAATTCTTGATTTTCGTTGTGCTTTTCCTGTTGAGAGGAGGGACTCAAAGTGCTTCATAAGATTTACTTTACTGTTAGTGCAGTGACTGTCTATTTTGTAGGGCAAACACAGCAGTCAATTTGTGCGCAGTGATGTCCTCACAAACAGCCATGAAATGAGTGCCCAAGTCATTCTCTGAGAGGATGGTGGTGGGTGGGGGGGAGGAGGAATGTATGAGTGAATTTTTATAGATATATATTATTGTACATAAATCATGCTGTCTTAATTACCGATGCTGGTTCTCTACCAATGTAATTTCGCAAAGCAACAATAGAGTTGGTGGCCCCACTGTTCTGGCAACACATCAGGAAATATACACAGAAGGGCTCAATGTCAGGTTGCTCTAATCAGACTTCTTCACAATGCAGGGAGGAAGCCATTATTCCGTGCCAGCCATAGATAAAGCTCTGTCTTTGTCAAGAACTGTACGGCAATAAGTTGACCGAGGAGAACAATTCCACTAATTTATTTTAACACACAGCGCACATGTTAAACCTATCTGCGCATCTGTTTTATTACCTCTTTTCGGTGCAAATGACATCTTTAACAGATCGAATGGGCCAAAGGGCCTTTTTCATCCAGACCGATCTTGTGATCTTTAATCAAAGGCCGAGGGATTTGCTAATTTGTCAGTCAAATCACAGAACCTCATGATAAAGATGTCATTAGCACAGAAAAGAGGTAGATCAGAATGCTTGTAACTTGCAAGAGATTTCTTAAAATATTTTCTTAATCCTCTGCAGCAGTCACTAACAAGGTTTGAACAGATACAGGAAGGATGCTACAATTCCCTCCTCACACACACACCACCCTGTCTTATTTGCACTCACTCTAATACCTCTGGCAAAGGTTAATTGTGCTCACAAGGGGATTAAAATGTCTGTCGGTGGTTCAAAATGCTCCTTGTTCTTGTTCTTTTAAGCATTCCAAGACGGTGTCCGGCATGAGGGGCAATATATCAATGCAAGTTGGTTTTGTTTTACACAGGTGTTTTATCCCAGCCAATTCTTGACTGTTTTTGTTGATGCCTCCTTACAAGTAATGCAGAACAATATTGCATAACATTGCTGAACTGCTTCCTTGCATAGAACAAAAAAGGAAGCATATTTTTTTACACACACCAGCAAAGAAGGTTATTATAATGTGCATCCCCGTCGACACCAAGTCCATAACAGACGGTGTTTACAAGGGATCTGGGATAAATGCTTGAGAAAATGTATTACAAGAGTATGGCGAACCCAGTAGGAATAGAGTAAAGCAGTGACCATTTCTGTGGTTGGATCAAAACCTTTCAATGATTGTGGGTTGGCGAGCACGTGAGAGGAGGAGTGGGGGAAGCATTGCCTCAAAACCATTAAAGGCCACGGTATAATAATAATAATTCTAGCATTCAATACAGTGCCTTATTAGTCACTTTTGAAATGTCTCAAAGTACTTTGCACCTCTTTTTCCCGTTAAATATAATAATGGCATATTTCTAATAATAGTAATAATTTCTCGGCAAAAGTGACGAATAATAATAATAATGATTGCGTTTGATGTCCTGCAAACAATCCCTCAATTTAAAAATAATAACAATGCTAATAATAATAATAATCCTCGATTCACGTCTTCGAGACGTCTCAAAGCGCTTCACAGAATATACTGCAAAGTGAATCGACGGTATATCTCGTGGGCGAAACGCGGCGGCCGACTGCGCACAGCGGCGTCTCCGCACACAGTCGTGGAATGAAGTGACCGAATTACTATTATTATTTGTTGTAATCCTGTAATATCATTCATAATAATATTGCTGCTGCTGTTGTTGTTGCTGTTGTTGCTGCTGTTGCCCAGAGGGTGGGCGCTTGGACCCTGAGCCCTGCTGCAAGGGGGCAGTTGCACACCCTGACCTGCAGAGGGCGCTCAGCTGGTTGGTTGAGCCAGATGACGTCAGAGGAGGAGGAGGCGTGGTGCGAGGTCACGTGGGGAGGGGGTGGGGCAATGGCGGTGAGGCGGGCCGAGGTGCGCATGCGCTATGCTCCCCTCCCGCCGGCTCTGCGCTTCAAAGATGGCGGAGCCTGAGGCCCCGCAATCACCTCAGCAACCGGAGCCCGGGCCGACCGACAACCATGAGACCATCGAGCTGCACCAGGGCCGCATCGACGACGAGATCAACAGCCACGACAAGGCCGGGGTCCCCCTGAACTCGCCGTGGACGTTCTGGCTGGATCGGTGAGTGAGAGAGAGCGAGAGAGCGAGAGGCGTCTCGGGGCCCTGTCCCGCTCCCGGTGTGGGGGGGGAATGGTGGGGGTGTGTAGGGGGTGGGGGCGAGTGTGTGTGTGGTGTGTGTGTGTGTGGGGGTGTGTGTGTGTGGGGGTGTGTGTGTGTGGGGGTGGGGGGTGTGTGGGGGGTGTGTGTGTGTGGGGGTGTGTGTGTGTGGGGTGTGTGTGTGTGGGGGTGTGTGTGTGTGGGGGTGTGTGTGTGTGTGGTGTGTGTGTGGGGGTGTGTGTGTGTGGGGTGTGTGTGTGTGTGGGGTGTGGTGTGTGTGTGGGGTGTGTGTGTGTGTGTGGGGGGGGTGTGTGTGTGTGGGGGGTGTGTGTGTGTGTGGGGGTGTGTGTGTGTGGGGGGTGTGTGTGTGTGGGGTGTGTGTGTGTGTGGGGGGGGTGTGTGTGTGTGTGGGGGGGTGTGTGTGTGTGGGGGGGTGTGTGTGTGGGGGTGTGTGTGTGGGGGTGTGTGTGTGTGGTGGGTGTGTGTGTGTGTGGGGGTGTGTGTGTGTGGGGGTGTGTGTGTGTGGGGGTGTGTGTGTGTGGGGGGGTGTGTGTGTGCGGGGGTGTGTGTGTGGGGGGGTGTGTGTGTGGGGGGGTGTGTGTGTGGGGGGGGTGTGTGTGTGGGGGGTGTGTGTGTGTGGGGGGGTGTGTGCGCGGGGGGGTGTGTGCGCGGGGGGTGTGTGCGCGGGGGGGGTGTGTGTGTGCGCGGGGGGTGTGTGTGTGCGCGGGGGGTGTGTGTGTGTGCGCGGGGGGGGTGTGTGTGTGCGCGGGGGGGTGTGTGTGTGCGCGGGGGGTGTGTGTGCGCGGGGGGGGGTTGTGTGCGGGGGGGGGTTGTGTGCGGGGATGTGTGTGGGGATGTGTGGGTGTGTGTGTGTGGGGGGGTGGGGGTGTGTGTCTGTGTGTGTGTGGGGGGGGTGGTGGGCGCGCGGGTGGGTGTGTGTGTGTGGGGAGGGGTGTGTGGGGAGGGGTGTGGGGAGGGGTGGGTGTGTGGGGAGGGGTGGGTGTGGGGGTGGGGTGGGTGTGGGGGGTGGGTGTGGGGGGTGGGGTGGGGGTGTGGGGGGTGGGTGTGTGTGTGTGGGGGTCAGCGAGTCACTGGCTGGAGTGCAGCACAGACACAAGAACAACTTGCACTGATTGACCCCGCGCTGGAGATCCACACCTGAGCTGTGGGTGTGTGTGTGTGGTTGTGGGTGAGGGGGTTGGGATCAGGAGGGGAGGGGGTAGGAGGGTGATCGAAGGCACCGTCGAAGAGGAGAGTCTTGAAGGAGGCGATCAACGGTGGGGGTGAGGCGGAGGGGGGGGACTGTGGGTTCAAGTTCCAGGGTGGTGGAGAGGAGGGAGGGGAGTGAGGGGGGTGGGGAGGGGGTACAGACTGAAATTCACAACTGTAATTGGTGGTGGGAGGGGTGGATGGGGTTTGATTTAGCAACTTATTCCGTTCAAAGAAAATGTTCTGTGAGTTTGTGTGATGAGGGCTGACATGTAAACACAGTAGTTTATACATAGAGAGAGAGTTGTGGGGGGTGGACAGGGGGCTGTTACCATCTTCCTCTTTTGACTTCCTCACCAAGGTGTGAACCCCAAACTCTTGAGAGGGACTGGAAGCAACTTCTTCTCAGTTATAATTTTTTTTACACACAGTCCTTGCATTTGATTCAGTGCCTTGTCACGTCTGCGAGACGACTCTGAAGTGCTTCAGAGGATGTACTGTAAAGTGAATTGACTATATTTTTGTGGGCGAAACGCGGCAGCCAATTGCGCACAGCGGTGTCCCACAAACAGTTGTGGATTGAGCGACCACATTTTTTTTTAAGGTATTACTGTACCCGGAAAACTGAAAAAGATAACACTTTATCACTTCATTGCGACGTCTCAAAGTGCTTCATAGGATAAAAGCACTTCATAGAATACGCTGCAAAGTGGTTTTCAGTTTGTGGGTGAAATGCAGCAGCCAGTTATGCACATGGCAAAGTACCCACAAACAGCAACAACAACTTACACTTGTGTCGCACCCTCCACACAGGGTAGCGTCTCAGAACGCTTAGTCACAGAACGAGTGACTGATTTGTTTGCCAGGGCACTGAGAGGAACTCTAATCTCTTTGACTAGTGCCATGGGATCTTTAACGTCTACCTCAATAAGCAGACGGGACCTTGGGTTAACGTCTCATTTGAAGGTTAATAATTAATTGTCATCCAAAATAATAATGAATTCATGCAGTTGATACAAATACCTTTCACGTTGAAGGATGTTGCCATAGCGCTTCATGGGATTTTTCTGTAAAGTGCAGTGACTGTGTACTTTGTAGTTGTATGTACAACTACAAAATACACAGCACTTCACAGGGTACACTGTTCTAAAACATCATTTGAGATCAGGATAGCAAGACATCTTTTGGCACGATGCTCTAAATGTAGCTTGTTTGTTGACATGACTTGAAATTAAATCCACTGGATTGTTTGGCAACAGAATCTGTTATCAAATACCATTGGTGTAGTGTGACCAGACATTTAGAGGACAACTTGTTTATGTATTTAAACAAGTAGAATTTATGGATAGCCAGAGGTGTGAGGAACAAAATGTATTGGAAATCAATGACTTATTTAAATTTACTTAGATGTAATTTCTTCTGAGGCCAGTCTTAGCCAGGATTAGTTTGTCAAATAATGTTCTTGAAATGAGTATTACTGCTAAACAGTCCCGCACCACTTTGAAGTGTAGATGTATGGAGGTTTGGTTAACAAGGATGTTGGCATGGTTAAGATTTGCGTTTGTGATCTATTGTTGTCGAATGAATTAATAGGATGCCTTTTACAACACAGGAAAAGATGTGACCGCTTCAGGTAGTGGAACAATGCAAGCAAAATTCAAAAATAAATTTAGACCATTGTTTGGTCTAAATTGAGTAATATGAGGTGTAGTGTCTGATTTATTTTAACTTTGGGACCAGCCAGGTGGATTGTAGTAGTCATTTCCAGATCCATATCTTCTGTGCAGGCAGGATGTATTTATATTTTTAACTCACAGCAATTCAAGTTACAGTTGCAGATATGTAGGCCCAGGCACATAGGAATACACCTGGCAACAGCAAACTGTTGCTGCCCTTTTTCCCCCACAAGTTCCTTGTAACATGTTTGACATTGCAACATCAGGACACCAGGGTGGATGAGGGATACAAATCTTAGTTGCATTTGTACTACACAATGTGTTGGTTCTTGATCCGGAATCCGAATTGTGTACTCTTTATTGCACTTTTACTTCAATACACATTTTTGCCCACAAAATATAGTTAGTTCACTTTACACCATATTTTGTGAAGTACTTTGAGACGTCTCTAGGACGTGATAAGGCACTATATCAAATGCAAGGATCATTATTATTAATACATGGATTGCAACTGCCCTGGTGCCTATTGATTTTACCCTAGCATAAGGTTGGTATATTTTATGAAGAGATAGGGTGGGATAGTTTAAATTTCCTTTTGTCTGATTTGCAAATTCACCTTAACCGCTATTAGGTAATAACGTTACTAAATAAATCAAAAGTTAAAACTACATCAAGATGGTCAAATATGTTGCAGAATGTAGATATGGTTTCAAATTCACTTGGCTTTCTATTTAAAAGTGCAGTGTTACTAGACCTTGTAAATTTAACACTGGAGTTTCTTTATATTTGTGGTATCTGCTCAATCTGTCGATTTGGGGAAAAAATACTTTCCTCCTCGGTGTTAATTTGGCTTGAAAACCTAAGCTCCTCATTACTGTTTCAGAGTGATCTAAATGGGGTTTTAACGTATTGTTCCTGTTGCAATGAAAAAATAAGCTTTTGAAAATCACTTTGGAAGTGTCTTAAATTCTTAATGAGAGCTTCATTGTTACATTTACCACAGTCCCTTATTTTAATAAGAATCTTGCATTTGATATAGTGCATTATCACGTCTTCTAGACGACTCAAAGCACTTCACAAAGTATACTGTAAAGTGAATTGACCGTACATTTTGTGAGCGAAATGCAGCAGCCAATTGCGCACAGCAGTGTCCCACAAACAGACGTGGATTGAGTGACCCAATTATTATTTATTTTTCAATAACAACAATATTTTCCTTGCATATGAGCTATATAATGGAGCCATTGCAATTCCTTTCTGAACTAGTCCAAGAACAGCACTGCAGGGCTGTCTCAGAACATTCTGTCATTTTCCAGTCGACTCCTTGCTGTGGAGTTTTGCATGCTCGCAGTTTTGTCAGATTTGAATGGTTCCCATTCAAAGAAAGTTGAATACACGTATTCACAGTTAACTGAGAAGAAAAGCTGACAGTCGTAGAACTCTGGATTTTGTCCACAAATTAATGCATTGCACTAAATTTTAAGCACTTGCTTTTATTCCTTACTGATTTGAATGCTGCAGCTGCTAGTTAAATTGTTTGCATACAAACCTGGAAGGTCTTGAAAACCTTTGTGGGGGGAGAGCCAAGTGTGCCTCTTTGGGGCTGCATTTGCTCCATGGTATATCTGGCAATGGAAGATTGTAATCAAGTCAATCCTCATGTTGTGGTCCTGGTAGTCGGGTACCTGAGCCAAGACAGATGACAAACCAGTTAGTTTGGCTCATCAGCAGCACTTGGAGGAGGCAGACTGTCACCTGCAAATCAAAACCTTAACAGGTAGGGTTGTCCAAGCTGGACTAGCAGTAGGAAACTTGCCAGTGTTTGCACACACATCATGTCCTATGCTTTTAATTAGATTTAACAGTAAATAATTGCAGTGTAACAATGTGGAAAACAACATGCCTATGTTTACTAACACATAAACTGGACAACAATTATCTGAAGTGCTTTGAAATGTTTATTATTATTATAGCTGTGTCGAAACAGATTAGACAATTAAGAGAAAAGGCAGAAGGCAAAATACATGAAACAGTAGTTCAGATAAAGAAAATTAAGAAACTTTAAAAGCCATCTGTTAGGATTTGTTATGACATCTGAAAGTGATGCTCAACAACATTAATTGTTAACAGCATTGCTGCTTGTGAACTTGTGGAAATAGAGCTGAATTGTTTAACACCTATATTAGTTGACCGTCAACTATTCTCCAGATCATTAAAATGGAAAGAAACATTCTTCCTACATTCAGGATTTTCAATTGTCCAATTTGTCAAGTGTTGCAAACCCCCTCTCCCGAATACTCCCCAGGAAGTCCTGTAGCACAGTATTTAGAGCGCTCGCCTCGCAAGCGAGAGACCTGGGTTCGATTCACGGGCAGGGTGAAACGTTGGGTAAGTTTCCTTACTCCACACACCTCTGTAGTAAGTAGGAACTCGGTTGTTACTTGATTGGTTGATCGCTTTCCGGGGGTAATAATTCCTTAAAAAAAACTAATAAATTGGTCACTGAATCTACGCTGTTTGTCAGACACTGCTGTGCGCAATTGGCTGCCGCGTTTCACCTACAAAGTACAGTTGATTTTCTTTACCGTAAATTTTGTCAAGCACTTTGAGACATCTCGAAGACTTGATAAGGTGCTAAATCAAATGCAAGGATTATTATTATCAGCATGAACTTGAAACTTGTTTATATTTTGTGGTGCTTTGTCGTTATTTGTACAAATGTTCTCATCGGTTTGTAGTAATGGAAATAAAGGTTAGCAAATTGCATTTCCACTGTGTGCATAATAATGATAATAATGCATCCCATAAATAATAAATATAAGTAATGGTAATAATACATCCCAGTCCATAAGAGAATGGTGTCCTTGCATGTGAGATTCACCATATACCTTTTGAAATTCCTTTCTGTTCTCTCCTCCTCTCATACTGAATATTCCTCACGATAGCTTTAAATGATTTGTGGTCCTGTGCGAAACTCTCATCTTTATGTGCAAAGCATTTCTGCAGTGGAGATCTAGTGCCATCTAATGTCGACGCTGTGGTAGTTACTCAAATTCATAGTCATGAAATAAAGTTACATCTTATACATTGAATTCAAGCGAATTAAAAATTCCTACACGGTTATAGCATGTGTGCTGTAGCTATTTATGAAGCAATTTCCACTTACTAGGGAAAAAATCTTCGCTTGTTTATTGATGTGTGGGAAATGCTAGGTAAAGTGAATCGGAGATTTCATCCATGAAGTTTATTCAGCAGTGTTAGTGGTTTCAGAATCTCATTTTTGAAACAGCAATTTGGCTTGCTATCTTAAATTTGAAGACTTTAGGTGTGGGGCGGGGGGTGGGGGGCAGATTTGCAGTGGGATACATCAATCCAATTTGAGTGAAAAGAAATCCAGATCTTAGTGGATGATAAGTCAGCAAACATTCCTGAGTGGATGATAAATCAGCAAACATTCCTGATGTTCGCTGCTGTGATTCAATTTTTTTTATGAACTGGGTTGAAATTCAAAAGCTGTTCTAGGAGGCGAGGGATGAAACGAGGCAAAGCTGCACAGGCAGAGGTGTCTCTGCAGGAGGCCATATCTGAATGAAAGGGTCTGGTGGTTTTGACTGTTTAACTGTACTTCACATTTGAGCAATGTTAGGTGAAGCCTTGCCAAGACCTCTTGTCATTTTGTGGCAGAAGACTTAAGAATGTCCTCTGTGAACCTGATCAATTTCCCAGTGACGGTGAAGATAACAGCAATTCTTACCTTTTTGCCAAGGCTCCTATGGGGACTACAACAACAACAAGATTGCATTTATAGAGCGCCTTTCATGTCGGGAGGACGTCCCAAGGCGCTGGACAGTTGGGTCAGGACCCGAGCAGGAGGGAAATGGTCAGGGTGAGGGGAGGGAAGGGAGGGAGCGAGGAGGGGGTAGAGAGTCGAGAGGGGAGCTGAAGGCTGAAGGTCAAAGAGAAAGGTCTTGAGACCGGCCTTGAAGGAGGAAAGGGAGGAAGCGGCGAAGGCACTGGGGGGTGGAGTTCCAGAGCCTCGGGGCTGAGAGGCTGAAGGCCCGGCCACCGATGGTAGGGCGGTTGAGGCGGGGGATGTGGAGCAGACCGGAGCCAGAGGAACGGAGAGTACGGGCAGGTACGTGGGGGTATAGTAGGTCAGAGAGGTAGGAGGGTGCGAGGCCGTGAATGGCCTTGTAGGTGAGGATGAGGATCTTGAATTCGACTGGGGCAGTTGGCTCGAGGTCCATTGACATCCTGTCCAATTAATCACTTGACAGATGCTTTGTTGAGGAGGGCCAAGAGGATGGTAAGGTTTCTCTGCAATAACACAATTTTGTCATCATTGGGAATTCCTAAGGTGCAGGCTTTGTGGATGGGACTTTAAAGTCATTATACTGCTAGGTTTTTCCACAAATAACAGTGTATGAAATGCTCCTTACCGAACAGAGAATAGCATACTCCTGCCCCAGCAGAAACCTCTGAATCATTTTTGTTCCAAGCCGACTTGCTTTAACTACAGCCTTCCGTGCCATTGGAAAGTGCAGTACTGTATTTGGACCGTTTCCTAGAGAGATGTCATTGGTGTAAATAGTCACGGCTGTCGTGTTCGCTTGCACCGCCCTCCAGTGGAGAGCAGCAAAGCTGTGCATATGGTTACTCAGATGTGTGCATCTGTGCTCATTTGACCTCCAACTGTTAGTGAAATTTCAGCTGGCGGGGCAGTTAGCTCTTTGCTATCATTAGAAGTTGACAGCTCAGGTTCCCTGGAAATTAGTCAACTGCACTGATCGCGCTCCTGCAGATGTGCACTATTAGTGGTGTGAGATCCTTTTTTAAAAGGTTGGTCTTGTTAACTGATGGTAAACCGCAAGTATGGCAGAATGGTGCAAAATATATGTAATGAGACTGGGCGTTATTGAACCATCTAGCCAGTATTACTAAATTGACACTCAACTCCAATTTTCATTGATCAGAATTAATAGTGGAATAATCAAAATTGTCAAGATTTTATTCTAGAATCTATTTTTTTTGTGGCAGTCTCAGAGTTGTTGAGCCAGCCGGGTCCGCAGTATTCCTGTGCTGATGACAGCAGAGCCTGCCTAGCTCATCGACAGGACCTGGAAGGGCAAACCGATCACTGGGGCTTAGCTCCTGTTAACTCGCATCCCACCTTAGTCCCTGTTAGCACCTCAGGGTCTGGCAACATCAACCTCTATGGTTGCACACTACAACTCACCAGCCAGTCAGGGACCGAGGTGTCTTGTTCAACCCTCAACTGTCTTTTCTCCGCCACATTCAAGCCATGACCCGCTCTGCCTTCCCTCACCTCCATAACATCGCCCGGCTCCGCCACTACCTCACCCCTCAGGACGCTGAAACTCTTGTTCATGCCTTCATCACCTCCCGCCTCGACTATGCAAACGCCCTCCTTGTCGGTCTTCCCAACTCCTCCCTCCACAGGTTGCAGATAATCCAGAACTCTGCAGCCCATGACCTCTCCCGCACCAAACTCTGTGACCCCATCTCCCCCATTCTCGTCCGACTCCATTGGCTCCCTATCCTTCAGAGGATCCAGTTCAAGATCCTGGTCCTTACATTCAAAGCCCTCCATGGCCTCGCCCCACCCTACCTCTGCAACTCCTAACCCCCTACCAACCCGCCCGCTCCCCCCACTCAGCCGGCTCTGGCCTGCTCCACATCCCCCGACTCACCTGCCCCACCATTGGCGGGAGAGCCTTCAGCCACTCTGACCCCAACCTCTGGAATTCCACCCCAATCACTCCGCCTCGCCCCCTCCTTAGCCTCCTTCAAGTCCCCCTTCAAGACCCTCCCCTCCATTTTCCCCCCACTGACCCCAGCTCAGGTCTGAAATGTTGTACACTGTCCAGCAACTTGGAACGTACTCCCAACGAGAACGGCACTATACAGATGTAATTTTGTTGTTAGCCCTGTAAGCCAAAGCCCTAATTGGAAGGATGGTCCTAGCTGGATAAGCAGTGGGAAACCTTGCCAGACTGCAATATTAATGGCAAGTGTGGTTTTAGCTGGTTAGACTACAGCAGTACCCCAACCCACACTCTGGGGTCCCCAAGTCTTCGCTCTTGCCAACCTGCATCTAATACTTTCCGGTATTGGGTGAGGGTGCGACTCTCCACGGAGAGATTTTGAATTCCATCCCAATAATCTAACTATGGAAATCTCAGCTTAGTTTGGATACTCTTAAGCATGGTGACGGATTTCCCGTCTGACCAAAAAATAAAATATCTATTTATCAAGTTGCATATTGATAAAATTGCCTCTAAGAAGCTCTTTGCTTATTGCAGTCTCTTGAGGTCAGCCCGATTCAGAGACCACCCTTATCTTACCAATCTTGTGCGCGAGTTAATCGCATGCTGCAATTTTTCCAGAGGTTCATTAAAATTTACAGTGGCAATATAGTGGTGAAGTTTAAAGAATTGAACTGGAGTAAGTTCGGTTGTAAAAAGGAAAATTGGGCCTGGAAGCTCCTTTTTACGTCTCCCAAGTGAACAGAGCTTTCATGATCCATAATTTAATTACTTTTCGACTTTGAATAGTTGACTTTAGCTATACCTTGAAAAAAAGAATTGGTTGTTTTTAAACTTTAAGATTGAAATCCCTTCTGGACAAATGCAATCTACTGTTTTTACATAGAAACATGATCTGGGTATCATTTTACTCAGACAAGATTTATTTTTATTCTGTTTTTAGATCGGTGCCTGGAACTACTGCAGCAGAGTGCGAATCCAACCTGAAGAAGATCTACTCTGTGCAAACTGTACAGGTGAGGAGAAAGCATTGGTACGTGGATAAAGAATGTTTAATCCAATTAATTTGCAGCTAATCCAAAGTTATCCATACATTAAAAATCCTGTGCAGATTTAATATTCTCTATACTGTTTCTAAAATTGAATACAAATTCTCACAAAGCATATGAAATAAACTGTTAATTGGTGTATAATGACCCAGCTTGGGATCAGTCTTTTATGGGTCATTATCTATCACTTAACAATTATCTGTCTTTACTAAAATTATTTGATATTTTGGAAGTGTGACCTATTTGAGATTCCTTTTTTTTCCTGTGCCTTTTGTGTTAGTTCCCAGTGTTTCACATTTAAAAAAAATTATACCATTGAAGATGCTACTTGTCATCTTCTATTAGTTGAGCTGTTTGTCACTCTTCCTGATGTATGCATCAGTGCTAGAAGTCTGTCCACATGTGGCCTGTACTGTCAAGACAATCCATGGAGAACATCAGAGCTAATTTCACACCACTCACTTGACATGTCTTTCCTAGAGATTTGGGCAGGTAGATTATTAGAGTTCAGCTGTCAGTCACAAGATTCTCTTTCCCCCTTTGCTCGTTTTGTAGAAGACAAGCTGCAGAGTAAACAAGCATTGGAGGTGCTGAGATTACAGAGCAGGGTGACCAAAAAAGTTGTGATACCATTACAATGTCTAATAAGAAATAATGATATTTTTGTTTGTTTTTTAGATAATAGGGTAGCTTCACGACTGTTCGGTCACCCTGTAATAAAGGAGGCATCAGATTCATGACTTAAACTCTACTTATTGACTTCCAAGTGTCAGCAACACAAATTGGCCAAACAATCAAGCTGCTGTTTTTGAACAGTAGATTTTTTCAGTGCAAAAGATCGGGCTGCGTAGAAGTTAGGCGTACTGTGTGACTGGACTATTGTAGTCATTTTATAGTTATAATGATGGCTACCTCTTCACACTTCAAACTAACTTTGGTTGTAACTGTTCCTTTCTCAAATTCAGATACTGGAAAATAAAGATATTAAAGAAAACCCCCTCTTCCAGAATCCGATCAATTTCACTTGGCCAATGTCCCATTAGTCCTTTACCTCTTTAGTTCAGTAAACAGTCGCTAAAATGCTAAATCTAAATGTTATAATAATACTACTACTATTAATAATACTTGCATTTGATATAGCGCCTTTCACCTCAGAACATCTCAAAACGCTTCACTGGATTTTGCTGTAAAGTATAATGGCTCTATTTTATTTAATATGATAAATAATTATTTGAGCTTTGATAGTGTTTTCAGCTTCATCATTATAATGCCTAGTAAATTCTATTTCAGCAGTTTAGTACTAACAAGAAGAAATGCACTGGATAAACTGTTGGCCGTCTTCACCTAAATTGTAGTTGCAGTTGTGTTTACTAATGTTGTCCACTAGATGCTGCAACATTGCCCTCACATGCATTTGTACTGAATGAGGTACATGGTGCAGATTATAGTTTGCCAAATTGATCTATGATGTGTTTCATTTACCAATAATACAATTGTGCAATTCCTAACATGTCTAGAACAGATAGACAGTATCAATTTAATGATAAATATCTATTCTCTTTTCAAAGTGCTGTAACGTTTGAGGAATCAAACCCAAGAAATCTTAACCATATCGAAACAATGTTTTCTTCTGTTTTAGTCTTTCAGAATTATTTTGTGAAAACTTTTTATTTGTACGTTTGCAACATTTTTCATAGCGTACCATAGTTGCAACTTAACTATACAACATTTTTTGTAAAATAAATATTTTCACATTCTTCCATTTTCCCCTCATCACATAGACACGTGCACTCCCCCAACTATTTTTAGGTTTTTATTGTGCAAAATAAGTAATCAACAGCTATAAACTTTTCCTAAAGGTGTTTCTTTTTGTTCTGTTTGAGAATGGTTTACTCAAAATGCATTAGAAAATGAAATTCTTAAATGTTTTGCTTCCTAACCAACCATTTGGACGTTTAAAAATTTGACAGCGGTGAAAGATCTATCATCGGCGTAATGTAGTGTCAGTAAACTGATGGTTTTATGTTATCTGATTTCTGCTGTGAAATGGGTGTTTTTAAGTGACAAGCATTACCAAGCAAACATCTGCTCATTGTCTGGTGACTAATGGAAGAAGTTCCAATTCTAACAAAATATTTGGGAGTCTCTGTGATCCCGTACCATTAATTCATCAGTTGCGATTAGTGACTTCTGCTTTCAATCATTTGTTAGAATATAGTACCGCATGCAGCTTCAAGCCATCTGCTGCATATCTAGGTTTCCATAAAACAATTCACTCTGGAGACAAGTAGATCTGTTTTCACAATAAATTATCCAAACTACTGTATGTGCTGAGTTAGGTAATGTGCATTTATATTTTATTATGCATGTGTGTGTGACACGAAAAAGCAGGATAGATGTAGAAGTCTTATGACTCACTAGGTCTCTGAGTCAAGGAGTGGCTGTTTCATTGAAATTTCTTGCATCTCCTTAGGTTCATAGAGCAATATGAGGAGCTAGCCAGCTCAAACAAAGACAACTGTTTGTAAGACTTTGATTGTGTTTGGGTTTCCCAGTACTACTAGACTGCATCTGCAATATTTCATCTTCACTTTGTTAATGGATATCCGTGATAAAAGGTAGAAGCGACACTTGCGAATGGTTGGATTTGCAGAATTTCTGTTTCACCAGGATTAAGAGCATTATCTTGTGGATATTAAAACATGAATATACAAACCCCATCTGAACAATGCTACGTTTGATGGCTTAAACACTTGAATTTATTTGCATTGAGCCCTTGCTGTTAGCATATCTGAAGTGCACGCCATCTGCTCAGCTTCCTCTGGGTACCTCATCCTTGCTCTGCTGCTTATAAGAATCTATACTACAGGAGTCTCGCTGAGCTGCACCTTTTATTATTCCCATAGAATTCCAGATTTTCATGGCTGGGTGAATATAAAAGTGCTGTAAAATCATTATCATTTTATCCATTCCTTAGAATATGCTGACATTTCCTGTGCTATTACGCTATAAAGCGTAAACAATACAAATATAATTAGAGGGTGATTCCAATACTCGAAGTAATCTGTTAAAAGGGCAGTGCATTTGCACTTGATTCCTTGTTTGTTTTCTCAATACCCTATGGGTATTCTCTTAAACTAATAAATTTCACACAAGTGGTTTTACTTCAGGGGCTTGCTCCTTTGAGAAACATATTGTCCCATCATCATACCTTGTCCTAGGTTTGTCATCCCTCGCTACTGAGTTCTTTTTCTCCTTTAGCAACTGCTTTGCACAAAATGCGATTTGTGGATTCACGAATAAAATAGATGGAGCAAGGAAACTTCCTGACTGGTAGGAAGAAAGCATACGTACCATGTTGTAGAGCAGGACCCAGCAAGTGTGCCCGGTACTACTATGAGCGAACACCATGGATTCAGCAGCGATAATTTATCAAATGCAAGGATTATTATATTTTAGGTATGTAAGTGCTTCATTGTCTTGCACAACTGACTTGTATTAAAGGGTATGAAATCTACATCAGAAACAGAAAGGTTGCTCAACCTTTCTAATTATACCGAAACTCTTAATAAAGTTGGATTGTTTTAGGGAGCTGAAAATGTACGGACTTCTAGCAGGTAGTTCAGAAAAGCAGAATGATTGGCAGTACGCAGGTTGTGTGAGAAGCACTGAAGGTTTTTTTGTGGGGGGTGGGGGAGAGTGACTGCAGGGCAAATCCATGAATATACATCGAATTTGTTATGAATGGGAGTCGTGAGCAGTGAAGTTATGACAAGACATTGCTCAGGAAGAGTGGTTGAAGCGAGGGCACTGAAATGATTTAAGATTGAACTTGATGCTGTAATGGGAGAATGGTAGAGATGGTACTCTAAAAGGGATAGGTCAAATGATCTTGTAATCAATACTTAAAACTAGATGAATTAAATCCAGGACTTTAGTTTACTGCATACGTTATTTCAGTTTCCTGAAAGATTGAAATCTGTTCTCATTTTATGGTGGGCACTGTTTAAAAACACTGATGAAGTAACAAACCAATGAATGTGTGTACACTTTGCTCAATAACCAAATGAAACTGCTTCCTTACATCACTTTCACTTTGTTTGCTTTAATAAAAATGATCAAAAGTAATAGTTTTACTTGTAAGCTCTGCATTTGGTGGTTTTCCCAGAAAGCCTGTCTTTTAAAATAAATTTAGATGTCTCTGCAGTAGTATTACATTATTCAGCTTGTTGTGATTATCAGTAGGTTTCAAAGTACACATTTACTTTCAAAGTGTTGCAGTTTCTTTCTTTTACAAAAACAGTACATTCTAGTGCTGACCTAGTATTCGAGCATTGTTTGTGGTACAGTAATGACTGCGAGCACCTCATATATAGCTTTGTTGAATTTTTTTTTAAGGTCTATGGCTGTTTGTTTAAAACAAACTATTGATACAGAGACAGTGATGCCTACTTCAATTTCTTTTAAAATGTTTAGGTGTCTAGACTATTCAAAAGGCAGGCAGGATTGAAGCAGAAACTATTGAAACTGTTTCCACAGTATTTTTTCCTCTTTCTTGATAGAAGGCTGAATTTCCACACAATTTGTATTTTGAATTATCTGATGCAGAAAAAAAGCTGCTTGAGTTTCATTTAGTAGATATTAACGTTTTAATAATCCACACATTTGAGCCTGATCTGTATATAATAAGACTTGCATTTGATGCAGCGCCTTTCACATCACCAAAACATCTCTAAAAGTGTTTCACAGAATATATACTGTAAAGGGGATTAAACTGTATTTTGTGAGCGAAACACAGCAGTCAGTTACTCACAGCAGTGTCCCCACAAACAGCCATAGGGTGAGTGACCAATTTTATTTTGGGGATTGTTGGCCAGGACACCGGGAGAGAAACCCCCTCCTCTTTTCAAATTGTGACATGGGATCTTCAACATCCACTTGAAGGATAATTCAGAATCTGCAACTTGATCTGCATATTTTGATCATTTGTGGTCACCCAGGAAGATCTGATCTCAGTATTGCACACCTGTAGTATTTTAGGTTTATTTTAAATGTTGAAATAGAAAAACGTCAACCCCTAAACCTTAATACTGAACATGAAAACCACCCAACAGAGGTCTCTGGATAGCAATCAGCAGCCCTGGCTCAATCTTCTTTCTGTAGCTGAGATCAGTTTACTGAATAAATTTGAACATCTGTATGGCCCAGTGCTTCACTAGACATTGCTGGAATTTGTGGAATTTATTTAGAGCAAAACAGAACTGATATTTTTCGTGTATGATTTAGTTATGGATATGGGAGTTTTCACTGGCTTTGACCAAATGGAAAATATTTTAGGAGCAAATGCTGATTTTTAAAAAAAAAATTGATTTAGGGTGGTGGTTAAGAGGTTTTTTAGAGAGGGAAATAGTTCAGTCGTGAAGCTATTTCCTAAACTGTAAGTTATCCATAGTATATACGTTGCAAGCAAATGAAAATTGCCCATAATTTTGCAAGAGGTCTGGTAGTTATTAAATATGTACAGGATATGGATTAATTCAAACATCTGTTTGGAATTTTTTTTTAAATGTGTATTTTCTTTGCCCTAGACATTGCGCTTTTTTTCCTTCCGCCCTGTTATTTCTTGGAGAATTTGTTGTACTAGAGTAAACCGATACAACTGAGATTTGAATCCTTTTACAGATTCTTCATGTTTTTTTTAAATTAAAAGAAATTATTTAAAATAAAGAGTGAATTAAAAATTCATCTGAATTTGGCTATTACGTGCATTGAATTAAACATTTTCTTGTCTTTTAAAAAAAATGTTGGTGGTGGATTTTCTTTTAATAAAAATAAATAACATAATAATAATAATTTGGTCACTCAATCCACGACAGTTTGTGGGACACTGCTGTATGCAATTAGCTGCTGTGTTTCGCCCACAAAATACAAAATCCATTCACTTTACAGTATATTGTGTGAAGTGATTGAGATGTCTCGAAGGCGTGATATGCACTATGTCAAATGCAAAGATTATTATTATGGTACCAGCTCATTCAGTCTGTTTTTCTTATCTTTTTCATAATTTTTCTTTTCCTCTCTCTTTTCTTTCCCTCTTTCGCTCTTTCTCTACCAACAGCAAACAACCATTTGCTCTCGCCCAAATTAAGTTTTCAGCAGAAATTCCATGCTTGTTAATCAATGCAATATTTTTTTTAAACACTCATAGGAACAGGAGTAGGCCATTCAGCCCGTCGAGCCTGTTCCGCCATTTAATTAGATCATGGCTGATCTATATCTTTACTAGAATTTCAAATCCAATTTCTCGCTTTCTCCCCGGATCTCTTAATAGCCCGACCTACCAAAAATCTGTCAGTCTCTTTCTTGAAGGTGTGGATGGATCCAGCATCCACAATCTTTTAGGGGAGAGAGTTCCAGATTTCTACCACCCTTTGAGTGAAAAAATGCTTCCTGATTTCACTCTTAAATGGCCTGGTTCTAATTTTAAGGCTATACCCCCTTTTTTGCATTCCCCCAACATAGGAAATAGCTTTTCTGCATCTACCCTATCGAATCCCTTTATCATCCTAAAAACCTCTTATCAAATCTCCCCTCAATTTTCTAAACTCAAAGGAATACAATCCAAGTTTATGCAGCCTTTCCTCGTAACTTAACCCTTTTTGGTCTGGTCACATTCTGGTGAACCTGCACTGCACCCCCTCCAAGGCCAATATATCTTTCCTGTGGTGTGGTGCCCAAAACTGATCTCAGTCTCCAGGTGGGGTCTGACTAACGCTCTGTACAGCTAAAGCATAATTTCTTCCCCTTTGTATTCCAGGCCTCTCGAGATAAAGGCCAACTTACCATTTGCCTTTTTGATTATCTTTTGTACTTGGGAACTAGTTTTTAATGATTTGCGGATATAGACACCCAAATCTTTTTGCTCTTCCACAGCTCTTAATTTCTCCCCGTTAAGAAAGTATTCTGCCACTCAGACCTTACCCTGTGTGAAGGGCGCTTTATAAATTCAAGTGAACATTACAATTTTTCATTTATTTATACACTTAGAAAGTAGGAATGATGGTCTAGGTTCAGCTTGAAAACTTTTAGACGTACGTGTTCCGCTGCCCAGAGAATCCTTGACATGCAACAAATTGTCGAACTGATTTGGGCAGTAAAACGCTGAATCAAATCTTTGTGTTCACTGTAATAATTGTACGTCCTTTTGTTGCAAACATGATTTGTGTGTGTGTAGAGGGGGTGGGAGGGAGAGGAGTTCAGCACAGTGAACAATAACATAATTTGGATCAGATTATGATTAGGACGGAACAAAGCATATGTTCCAATCTGAATTTATCAGCTTTCATTTCAAATGGAATATTTCTTCTTCCCTAGAGTTTCTGGAGCGTCTACAATAACATCCCTCCAGTAACCAGGTTGCCTCTACGTTGCAGCTACCATTTAATGAGAGGAGAAAGGCGCCCATTGTGGTGAGTAACCACAAATACCCCTCAATCGAAACACATTCTGTGCACCTACAGTAAGTGACACGTATTTCTTTGGTTTGTTTTCTGCTCCTGTACCTTTTGGTTACAATGTAACTTTGCTTTTTGTAGGGAAGATGAGCGTAATGCCAAAGGAGGTTTATGGAAAATGAAAATCGCAAAGGAATTCACTGTGAGTAGTTTAAAAACGATTCCCAAACCTCACAGTGATAACAAAACGCTCTCTTGTCCGTTCTCCGTATCGTGCGTATGGCAAGCTATCCAACTGGATGATAATCGCAGAGGTTTTGCTGTCAAAAGACCTGTGGATGCATCCACTTAAATTCCCCCCCCCCCCACACACACACACACACACACACACACACACTCACTCACTTCCAAGTGCTAGTTGAGTGCCATTTCTTGGTAATTTGAACATTTTTACATTGACAAAATAAAGCCACCAATTCATAGGAACAGTTATTTGTATCATAAAGCCTTTGCAGATCTCTGGTGGAAATTGTCAGGCTGATAGTTGAGGGCCCCCCCACAGACATTCGTCAAACATCATATTTGCTTTCGCAGTTATGGAAGAAAGGTTGCATCTCTGCTTCACTATAGTTTGGTAGGTTGAACCTTTTCTCTTTATCCTCGCACTACAATACTTGGTTAAGATCCTACAGTGTGTGTAGCATGGTGATTAAGATTGCTTTTATTCTTTGAATCAAACTCAACCCCTACACACTGGACTTCATCCTTACTTCATCCCTACAGTCTTGCAAGGGATGTAGTCAAAACCAACTAAAGAGCCATCAGTTTATATTGAGCGAAGGAGTTGGCAAGTCATTTGGAAACGTGTTCCATCATCATAATATCAAAATTATCTTGAAAGAGGTGTTATCCCCAATACTTGAAGACACAAACTGACCGTATTCCTCCAATTAAAATAATGAAGAAATTATATTCAGGTTATCTTCCTATCTCTCTCCTCCTCCCCCCCCCCCCCCCCCCCCCACACTCAATATGTTCATTTCCTTCATTGCTATAGCCTTGTATTGAAAATATGAATTGCTATAACCTTAGCCCACCCTGGTAGCAGTCTCTCAATGAGACACTGATGATCAGTGTGAAGCCAGCTTTTAAATGCAGAGCAGCAATGGGAGGGATTGCAAGTCTGCCACAAGCAAACCTCACAAAGGGTCATTGTAACTTTTACGTTTGTCAAACTTATATACAAGAATAAACCTTATAAAACTGAGGTATTGTCATTTTTATCTTGGCCCAAATATTCACTTCAGCCTTGGCCTCCTTTACATTCAGTCTGGGATCAACATGTTGGAAATTTAATAGTAGCTTCGGTTTCTTTTTGTAGCTGGGCTTTCAGGACTATTACTGCAGTCTCCTAATCAGAAATCTTTGCTAAGTATGAATTAGGAAAAAATTAGTGTTTTGGGTTACAGTTCTCAATTGTTTTCCGGTAACACCACGTGGGGGTGCTCTTGTGCTGTGCATGAAGAATAGCTCATATGATAATAGCTAAAAGTACTTTAAAGGGACAGGATGTTTCCTGATCGATTATCTTATCGTTCCTTTGGTGAAACATAACTCAATTTTTATCTCTGGTGAAAGATGACTTATGCCTAAAGATGGTTAATCCACTGTTTCATACACTGCATTGGAAACTTATATTACAAGCAACTATATTTAGCAGCCCAAGTACAGAACCAAGCCTTGTTTAGAAATGTCCTCCTCCTACTCCTAATTTACACTGTGTAAACACTTTGATAATTTAGCAAAACTGTGCTATTGATATTTGACAAGCCATTTTGGCTGATCTCGTAATTCATGTGATTGATGTGACCATAAATTATCACAGCATTTACATAATCCAAAGAAACCTGACTGGCACGGTGATTATTTTTGCATTTTTTTCACTCTGTGACTAGAGGTCAGATTTAGTCATTTTTACATCCAATGTTTATTTGAGGCTCCCCTTGAAAGTTTATTCAAACCAGATCATTAAAAAGGCACTCTGTAATTGGATCGCTTTATCTGTTTTTCATGACAGTTTGCTGTTTGGAAAGAGTTATTACTGGCCACCATTGGTGAACAATTTGCAGATTGCTGTGCTGCAGGTAAGCCTGGCCTTGTGGGCAGCAATTAATCTTTAGTGTCTGTCGTTGGTACTTTTATGACTGTTTAGATTTTCTTGTCAGTTAGCTATTTTAGTCTGAAAACTCTTAAGGGTTAGAAACTGGATTTAGATTGCAGTCTACTGGTCAGATATGTCCCAAAGGTTTCCCGTGCCTTAAGACTGGAATAGTCTCAGGTAGAATTTTGAAAATAATGTTGAGAACCAGCACATGACTTATCATCGCTGCTATTAATATTTGTCGGGTTCAAAACAAATGAAGTCAAGCTTAAAGAAGGAATGTTGAAGACTGAATAGCTTCATTCCCCCAATTGCAGCCTTTGTTTTTAAAGGAAGCTTTATACATCTTTGGGTTAGTGGGAAGCGGCTTAAGAATAGGATTAGGGAGGATCTTTGTAGGTCCCCTGTTTTGAATTTGTGGGTTCCTTTCTAATGTGCTTTTATAGGTGCGCTAAGAAGTGGCTCAAATAGAAAATCCAGAAATCGGCAGTTCTGGATCACAAAGCTTGTAAGCTGAAGAAATTATCTTATGAGTTCTTGCTGCAAGCAGCTTAAAATTGAAACAGGGAGGTGTATTTTCCCAATACGTGCAGCACAAGGAGAGTGTTTTGCTCATGGAAGTATCTCATCCAACCCCACACTCTCCTTGTTTAATATTTAATTTTGTACTTAACCAAATGGAACATAAATATTTATCTCCAACTTGAAATATCTGAGAGCACAACTTATTAATTTGTCTTTATTGAGCTGGCATTCATATGCTGTTTATTTTGCAGATGATGAAGTAGTGGGTGTGAGTGTGAGTGTTCGAGATCGTGAAGATATTGTTCAGGTTTGGAATGTAAACGCCTCTGGAGCAAATGAAGTAACTATTATAGAAAAGATTTATGGTCTTCTTCCAAATGTAACCTTTAAGGCAGTGTTCTATAAACGTAAGTCTCGCTCTTTCTATAACTCATTTTTGAAATTGTGCTTAAAAGCGTAATATTTGTCTTGAAATGTTTGCAGGATAGTCACTAAAATGTGAACTTGAGGTCTCTCACCCAATATTTTTATAGCTTCTAATGTTCTGCTCTTCTTAGAATTCATATCTTGGGTTAAAGGATTATAAATATGGACAGCAAGCAATTTGCTTGTGCTTTTAAGTATGCAGTGCTGAGTATTCTGACAACAAAATAATAAATTGAGGGTCCGTGGGCTGGAGAACAACATACAAAGTTACATTTATGGTGTTGAAATGTTCCTGAATCCAAATCCCTGACTGTCTAGCGCCTTGGGTCGTCCTCCCGATGTGAAAGGCGCGATACAAATGTTTGTTGTTGTTGTTGAATTCTCCACCTAATTGGAATGAAAGGGAACCAAAATCTGCCTTCCTCTCCAGTGAAAACTATTTCAAATGTTGCTCTTTTCTTAACTACCCCGTTCCCCTCCTGAAACCAGTTGGGGGAAAAAAAAACTGACATTCGTATACCCGGTGTATACTGTGTGTCCATTCAACTGCAGTGTGGTTCGTCAGCTCCCAAGGAGAGATGCTTTTGTCAGTCATGTCTTATCTCAAAAGCTGTCAGTTTCCTGCTATTTTCAGCATTTTCAAAAAAGAATCATGAAGATCTTGACATTCTGTTGTCAGCTGTGTTTTACAGGCCATCATGGTTATGACAGTAATTGTATAGCACTAATATTTTATCATGCACTGAAAGAGATTGATGCTTTGAAAGACGCCCAAATAGCTTTTCTCTAGTCAATCATCACTCAATGAAACCCAAGTTACTGATGTGGAGATCCTATTTTGTTGTTACAAGAATTGACCTGTTCACAACCACAAAGTAATATTGGGCTTTTTCCTACAAAATACACAGTCACTACACTTCACAGTAAATCCTGTGAAAGGCTTTGAGATGCCTTCTGAGGTGAAAGGCATTGAATCAAATGGAAGGATTATTATTATGTCTATTATATGTCCTTTAATGTACCATGCCAGTTTATAGTTGTAGCCACATAGTGGCTCATTTTTATACATTTTGTTTTGGAGTCAGCCAGATGTCTGACATGTGGAAACCCATCACTCTGCTCAAAGGGCTTTGAGTAGGAGCTCAAGTTTAAACCATCTATTGTGGAATATTATTGGCTTCCAAGAAAGCCACCGCCTTGGAATACTTAAGGGAAACATTTTGTCTTCCACAACTATGCTCACGATTTCAATCTGCTGCAATACAATGGGCAATCAATTTAGTCATATCTTCAGCTACTACCAGAAGAAGACTGTACTCCCGGCTAAGAGTCTACTTAATTGTTACTCTTCCTGTTGCCCACAGAGAGCAATCCTATGTCTTCTGTTATTGCAAGATTGAAAATCTTGTAAATGTGGTAAATCTGGTAAATGTGGACTCTTTATTCTAACCCTAATTTAAATTTGAATCTTATTCTGTGCAAATTAGTGTCACAGGCACTTAAACCTATGGATTCCTGTGAATTTTAAGATATTTTATTTGATTATAATTGGTGGAAGACATACCATCTCTTGTTCAACTTGCAAAGTGGCCCATTCACGTGCTCCAAACTTTCACCCAGTATGTTTTTTTTTGTGTACTTCAAATTGTGATGCAAAAATGTTCTCCCCAGATTATGTACTCTCCATAGTACATCTTAATGTACTGTACACTAACTAGACTGTGATGTCGATAGAACGTAGGAGTTTTAATGTTTTAGACCATTTCTTTTCACAGCAAGACTTTGGTTATGGATTTTTCTAAACAGGATGCTAGTAATGCCTTAGCAGAATATAACTCCTGGTACAAATCTCTTGCAAGGGGAAACCAATCAAGAACAATTTGTTTGTTGTACATCTGCAATAGAAGGGTCAACCTCAACCTCAGTGTCGAAGTTCCCTCCCAGACGGACTAGCTCTTGTTCCTTTTCTAAACTGATGCAGTATAAATGTACATTTTCAGTGCAGTTTTCAGTATGTAATATTGCCTCCTCAAGGCAAAAGGCAAGGATAGAAAATCATTCCTCCTTTCAGCTCATTAACTGATGCCCAAGGTATAGTTTCCTGGCAGCGGGTTTTTGTTTCCTCCCAAGGCCCTCTGCACCACACCCCACATGACACAACTGCAATGTGCTATTCAAGACTGCAGGCAGAACCTCTGAAAGAATGAGTGAAATCATACCTGTTGCAGACAATTAACAGCTATTTTGCTTGGGTGTTTGTTGCGCTGAATATTAAACCCATCAATGAAAAAGGAACCCATTCAGATCTCTTTACTCCTGTCCTTTTTCTTTTTCTAGCTCATGAGGAACATCATGCTTTTGAGCGTGGGCGTGGAAAGCCATAGTGATTCACAGAAAACTTTCGAGATTGGGAGCTGATTTGTTTTTTTTAACTTGTGCGTGGAGTCCACGGGTTGAACTTTTGTATATCTGCGAATGGTGTTTTTTTGGTAGAATTTTGATAAATGGAAAAGAATCAGGTGACTAGTTCAAAAGGAGTCTGAAATGCTGCCATCTTGGTATGTGATGTTTGCGTGAATTACTTTTAATGCCTTTGTTCATTCATTTCTCTACTTGGCGATTTCTTTCTGTGGTGGTGGGAGCGATTCTTAGCAGCAGTCCGTAATTAAAATGTTCTTTCTTTCGATAGGTAGCTTTCTTTTTTGTTTTCGTTTTTTTGACAGCATTCCTGTTCCTTTATGCACACGGTTTCTATTTGTTTTTTAAAGTAACTGTACTGTATTTAACTGATTGCAAATGTGCACATGAGACTTGCTGCTTAATCTTGAAAAAAAGGCCTTCAAGGTAGGAATACTGATTCACACAAGGTGAATTTGGAACTGATCAATTGTGGCACATTCCAAGTGGATCACAGTTCTGTATTTTTTCATTTAGAAAATTGACTGCACTACACAATCATGTATGTAACCCACTGTAAGTTTGGGCCTTGTGAATGCCATGCATTGATATAGACTTTTTCAATCAGCAATATATACAGATTGTCCGAAAGATTAACTTTCCAGTTTATTTTCTAATTTATTACATTTATGTAACTGATATGACTGTAGAAAATTGTCATTGTTGGCAATTCAACAGCATTACTTGTACATTTTATTCAAGCAGTCATATCCATCGATGCAAAGTTTGGAATATAAAACCATATTACTTCATGTATTGCATCTTTCAGTTGTTTAAAAACCTATGAGCTTGTATGAATCTACAGCTTCAAATAATCTTTGTTACTACAGCACCTTAAACTAGTCTGTTTCTGTCTGTGGAGAGCATTCATTAATTGGAATTACAATGTTAGAGTCGGTTTTGCATGCTTTCATTCTTTTGTTACTTGTAACAGCGAGTGCAATTTTGTCTTGTTTGTTGGTGATTTGTGCAGTTCTTTGCTATAGAACCAAAGATTCAATTTAAGGGTTTTGAGAAGCAGTGAAATAATTTGCAGAGAAAGCTAGGAATGTGCATATCCCATGCCAGAATATGATTTTATCACTCACAATGTTTTGTTTTGGGAATCAAAAAATTCTCATTTTATATTAGCCGGAAAGTGTTTATCAACAGGACTCTTATTTAACAATATAAAAATGTGGTAATATAGAAAATCTGTTCACTAACCTGATCAGGGTTAATCAAGATAGGAAATATTCAAGAGCTCATTTCAAGAATTTCATATAAAACATTTGATTAAACTACTACCGAAGAGTGCATATAACCAGAAATCACTAATGAAATATTATGCGATCCTCATGATCACAAATATAGTTAATTGACCAAACTTTGATAAGTCATAAATAATAACAGAAGTTGTTGGGAACACACAGCAGGTCAGGCAGCATCTATGGAGAGGAAAGTGAATTATCGTTTCTGGTTGATGACCTTTTGTCAGATTTCCAGCATCTGCAGTATTTTGCCTTTTGATAAGTCATACTTGGACAATTCTAGCAATTGTATCATTATATGTAGCATTCATATATAAGCTATCATGCTCCATGTACTATAACTGCCATTTGAGTAAGTCCTGCCCTTTTTCAGTGAACAAATACAAAGGTGCAATGCATCCCTTTTCATTAGAATGTAAGTTGCACACACTATAGTAAATACAACAATGTATAACTAAAGCACATGGACACAAATATGATCTCCTTGGCTGCACAACAATTTGTATGTTTATCAATCATGATTTGAAACTTTTTAGGTTCATAGAGTAGTTTTAAATGTTTTTTACGATAAATCCAAGGGTTCTTTGAAGATCATACAATTTCGTATTGTCGTATTTCTGAGCACTGATTTCTAAAATAAAACTTTGTTAATCTCAGCTACCCAGGACTACATGTGAAAAATGCACTGAAGCACAATTGGGGGCAGGGGGTGGGAGTTGTTTTGTAATAATGAGGACAAACTGATGGTTCACAACTGTGAAAGTTACATGTTAGACATATCACAAAACCATTGACAATTTTTCTCTACACAATCAGTTTTTTTATATTGAAAAAACACTGTTTCCCCTAAAATCTGCAGCCTTCAGAACGTTCGTGCTGCGGTTCGTGTTTTTCTACGACTTTTAAACCCAAGTGAACTGAAACTCTGGTCAGTGAATGGCCTATTTTAAATGGTATTCACTTCTGATTTGAACAAGCATCTTTATTTATTACTCATATTTGATTAACGATCTGTTGCATTTATGCCATGACTCTATCAATGCATCCAAGGGCAAGGATTTGTCGGCTACTTCTGATGGTCTTAAAAATCCAACCTTGAATTGATTTGATTGTCCACATACAGGAAGTACCTTTATGATATAAATAGATTGTGAATAATATAAATGTTGAACCTGCGCAAGAATTTAGAAAACATCATCTTTATTTTTGTTAAATCTACTTTTGTAGAATAGCTTAGTTATAATCAATTTATTTTGAATAAAAGTATACTGTGGCTATTAATTGCATTAAGATTGGAATCAGAAGACAATATGACTTCAGATTATCTGAATGATGTGTGTGTTTTTTTAAAAAAACACACTGGTGCTTTGTGTATTCAAGGTTTTCAAACCTGGCACAGAATTTGGTTTAGATTTCTTATTCCTGAAAAGCATTGTTTCATATATGCCATTTTAAAATGTTGCTTGTAATTCTTTTGATAAATACTGAATAAAAGAAATACGTGCAAAATTTGTTCTATGATGTGTACTGACATTTTTCCTACAGAGGCTATCATGGGGGCAAGAAAATGTTTCTTTGGTATATTACTCTCTGGGGTTAAAATATTTTGACATTCCACTGAGATCTAAATGCTAATTGTAACTCAGTGGTTAGAGCACTTGCCTCACAAGTTAAGAGACCCAGCAGGGCGAAATGTTCGGCAAGTTTCTTTACTCCACACACCTCTATTTAAATAGCAATAAGTTGGAGCCCAGTTGTTAGTTGACTGGCGGATCGCTTTTCCGGAGGTGGTAATTCCTTCAAAAAATAATAAATTAATCGCTTCAATCCACGACTGTTTGTGGCACACTGCTGCATGCAATTAGCTGCCGCATTTCGCCCACAAAATGTACAGTCAATTCACTTTACAGTATATTCTGTGCTTTGAGATGTCTCGATGATGTGATAAAGAATTATATCAAGTGCAAGGATTATTATTAACTTTAAAAAGTATGAAATTGAGTTTAAATTTGAGCATCAAGAACAGCAAAGTAACCCCAGCAGGATTGGAAAGCATTGGCAGATTTAAATATTTTGTTTGCCTACAAAATATATAGTCGTTTACAGTAATTCCTGTGAAGTGTTTTGAGACATTCTCCTGATGTGAGAGACGAAATATCCAATGCAAGGTTTATTGTTACTTTTATTAGTATGAAACAAAGCAGTTTCAAAGGGTAAGCATTTGTTTAGCTGAATAGCCTATGGTATTTTCTTTGTATGAAATATTGAGTCAGCAACAGTAACCAATTCCAACATTTTGTTTATCAGGTGAGTGGATTTCATAGTACAATCCAGTGACTGAATAAACTTTCATTTCATTTCTAAATGAGCAAGAATCAAAGATTTAACCTTTATCAGTAAATAACAGTAAGTCACATGCAACAAAGCTGTGCTAAGCAATCATTTGTGTAAACTATTAATTGTTATTACCTAATGTATGAGATATGTCGGTGCTATGTTTAGCTGCTTGACTGGGCTACTTAATGAGCAATGGGAAATCAACACATGAAAATTGCTGGTGATCTATTTATGGGAAATGCCTTTGCCAGCTTCATCTCTGTATCATAAGAATGTTGAGAGCCTGAATAGACCTTCACAGTCCATCTGGTCAGTCCTGAAATTAAAATTATCTAGTCTTTCACATGACTCAATTGAATTCTTTGTCAAATAACTAATTACTGCTTGAATTTGTCAACACAATACTGGTATCTGAAGATCTGAGAAACTTGAGGAGATTGGCAATCACACAAGTGGCCACTATCATGCGAGTCTTGATCAAACTACTTAGGATCAAACCCAAGATCCTCCTGATCTGTGATTTTTATTGGTTAACTGGACAATACCAGCCTTTATGTCCTTCATAATTTCCCAGCTTCTTACAGATATACCCTCACCCCCAAAAAATGTTACAAGAAGTAAATATATTCACATCCTGTTGGCAAGATTGGGGTTTATTCAGATACTTGCAAGACCTGTTTGAGGAAGAGATAGTTTAATGTCTCCCCCCCCCCCCCCTCCGACCCGCCCTACCATCGGTGGCTGAGCTTTCAGCCTCTGCCCCTACACTCTGGAACTCCATCCCATGGTCTCTTCGCCTCGCTTCCTCCCTTGCCTCCTTCAAGGCCGTTCTCAAGACCTTCCTCTTCGATCGTGCTTTTGGTCGCCCTCCCACCTCTCTGCCTTCCCTCACCCCTACCCCACCACCTCCCCCTGCTCGGGTTCTGACCCCTGACTGTGTAGCGCCTTGGGATGTCCTCCCGACATGAAAGGCGCTCTACAAATGTCATTTTGTTGTAGTATTGAATCTCTTCAGGACATTTAGTCGGACATGCATAAACGTACTGAACAATTGCTGCAATTATTTGACTCAAACGTCTGGGCAGTCAAATGTCAAAATCGCTGCAAACTCATTAAAGATAATTAACTTCATAGTGAGGGAGATGGCCCTGCCACAAATAGAAGAGGTTACATTTTGAGCAATAACTGCCATTTGGGCTAACCAGTCTGTGCAATAAACATGTAAAATATATATTTCATGTTTGCAAAGAGTTATTGGGAAAAGATGAGATCTATTTTGGATGGACTTACTGTTTTAAAGCATTAATTCCCACTTTCAGACCTATAATAATAATCCTTGCATTTCATATCACATCTTATCATGTCTCTGAGACTTCTCAAAGCACTTCACAGAATGTATTGTAAAGTGAATTGAATATATATATTGTGACAGCCAATTGCACACAGCAGTGTCCCACAAACAGTCATGGATTGAGTGACCAATTATTATTTGTTTGGTGTGTAACAAACCTACCTCTTCAACCAAATGTATGGTCATCTCCTCCCTTCTCCCTTACTACTCCACAGCACTTTGGGGCTGGGGTTTACCTTGCGTGAAAGGTGCTATATAAATGCAAGCTATTTGTCTTGAATCATTTTGCCCTCAATATATACAAGTCCATCCACTTTACAATATATTCTGTGAAGCGCTTTGAAACGCCTCAACAATGTGACAAGGCGCTATATCAAATGCAAGGATTATTTTTTTATACTGAGCCAGATTTCCATGGAAATGTTTTATCTGAACATTAAGAAGGGTATCGTAGTCAAATTACATTTGGGAGATGTTTGAATCTGGATGGTAAGGAAGTACAGCACTTAATAATAATTTTTGCATTTGATATAGCGCCTGATCACTCCTTCTAGGCCTCTCAAAGCGTTTCACAGAATATACTGTAAAGTGAATTGACTGTATATTTTGTGGGCGAAATATTAATCTATTATACCTTGCTAGTTGGTTTCCAGGGAGAATCGTGCGGTCCGAATTCTGAGCTACATAACAGAGCTGTTGATACTGTGCTTGGCAGTAAGTCGGTGCTTAGGATGTACTTGATGGTTGCTTTGTCAACAGCTGATCTAGGATATGGGGGTGGGGGTTGTCGAGTAGAAGCCAGAGGCAGGTCTGAGAAACCAAATGCCAGGTTGACTTTAGATAGGGAGCAAATCTCAGAGACATGATTGGACTTGCAGTGAGTTTTGCTGCACCTGGGCTGGGCTAAAGCTGCACTCTCTGGGAGGTACTTCGCTATCTCCACCTTCCTGTCTCCCTTCGGTCAGTCAGTCAATCAGTTACCTGCCACCACTCTTGGGACACTGCTTGTCATTCATGCTCAGTTTTGCCTTCAAGTGACCAACCCTAGCCTGTGGGCAAGCTCCCTGGCAAAGTGAGTCAGACAAAACACCCTGTTGCAAGCGTAAAGGACCAGGTTTTCAGAGGAACTCCCAAAGGTCCTGAGGGAGCGCAATGGCATCTATGGATGTTAACAGCAAGCCACCGTTCTTCAGACCTTTTGTGGAAGCAGACCCCATAAGAGCAAGGGGGACACCTACACCAGAGGGGTATCTGGATGCCTTTGAGGCGAATTGCTCCTTGGCTCCTCTTCACCACCTCCCTGGGACTGAAGTGGACACGGGGCAAGAGGAACTCTTCCTGAACAGGGAGTCGGAGGACAGAGACTGTCTGGGGGCCATAGGAGATCCCAGCCACCAACCCGAGGTGGGAGAACTGATGGCAAATCCAATCCCTGACTCCAAACCGGCCATGTCCTACATCGCTCTGATAGCCAAAGCCATCCTGGGCTCCCCCAGTAAGCGGCTGAACCTGGCCTCCATCTACAGGTACATCGAAGAGAATTTCCCCTACTACAGGGGCCGCGGGCAGGGCTGGAGGAACAGCGTCAGGCACAACCTCTCACTGAACGAGTGCTTCGTCAAGGCGGGGAGGTGCGAGGACGGCAAAGGCAACTACTGGAGCATCCACCCCTCCAACCTGGAAGACTTCTCCAAGGGAGACTTCAGGCAGCGCCGCAGGTGCCGAAGGAGAGGCAGGAGCAAGGAGTTGGAGCGTAAATTGGCCGTGACCTACCCTACCTGCCCCTTCCCACTTGAGCCCCTCGCCCTCAGCTCCCTCTGCTCCCCCTACACCGAGCAGGAGCGCAGGGCTTACAGGCTGGACGAGGTGCTCTACAGACAGTACATCACCAACCCCTTCTGGAGGTGGTATCACAGCTGCAGGAGCTCAGCCACACTGAGACCCTGCTGCGACCCCAGCCTTGGGCTTCCCCCAAACACAACCCCAAGCCCAGCCCCAACCCCAGCCCAGAACTCAGTGCCTCACTGGCAGGGTTTAGCAGATAGCACTTCCCATCAAAACTTTTTCAAATCAGCCGGCAATTGAGTAGCTACAACACCCCCCCCACCCCCTACCCCCTACCCCACACACCCCACTCCACCCCCCACAAAAAGTACCAAAAAAGCAAAGGTTTCTTTGCTCATTCCTCCCTCCCTCTCCCTCCTGCCAATTGTTCTTTGATTGTTTCTCGCTGCCATCCTCTCTGGTCTGGTTCATAAATCGCAGTGCGTTTGTCTGTATGCACATTGTGTATGTGTGTGTGTGTGTGTGTAATGTGTTTGTAAACAGCTGGTTGTAATACGTTGCATTGAATACATTAAAATCGTTGCACAAATAAATGCTCGATTGCAAGCACTCAAAGATGATCAGAGACTGTGTGTGTGTGTTCATCTGTGTGTGTGTTCATCTGTGTGCGTGTTTATCTGTGTGTGTTTATGTCTATGTGTGTTTGAAATCGCCTCTGTCTTAAAGATTCTCGGACACCCAAAGTGTCAACATCACAACAGGATGACTAGTGAAGTTTCCATTTCAACAAGCCGCTGATTTAAATCTTTCAAACAAGCAAGTTGAGGTCTTTCTGAACCTCAGTTGATATTTGCAACTTCACAGAAAGAGAGCCTCTCCTGTCGATTGCTTATTAATATTCGTTTTGTGAAATCTGTGAAAAGCTGGCAATAAATAAAATGTTATAAAAACTTTGGATGTGTTTGTGTTTTGTGTGTCTTTTTTGCTCTGGTGCTGTTAAGATGGGAGCTAACCCCTGCAAAAATCGTCTCTGTATCCATGCACAGATAATGCAGTTTGCAAACCCACTGTAACATCTTTTTTTTAAATAAAATCCCAACCGTTGTTTCTTAAAATTATTTGCTGTCAATGAAAATCCAAAGGAACAGTAGCTGAACAAGTTAATTGGAAATTTGTGCCGCTGTCAAATAAATTGCTGGTGAAATCATTTACATTTTAATTTAATAAATTGCTGGTGAAATCATTTACATTTCAAAATAAGTTGGTGATGAAATAATTCACATTTTAATTTAATAAATTGCTGGTGAAATCATTTACAGGCTGCCCTGATACCAGTTATTCAGATTGGGGGATGTTACAGAGTTTATGTCCTGATATCAGCTGTGAGATATGTTAACGCACAACTTTTTACAATTTCTCTGCAGCATTGACAATGCACTCATTATAAGTCACTTCAGGGGATCTTTCCCACCTTTGGCTGTGGTCACACCCCAGCAGTGTGAACGCTCAAGCCTTTTAAGAGGAAAAGAACTACAATGCGACTACTAATAATCCTTGCATTTGATACAGCGCCTTATCACGTCTTCAAAACGTCTCAAAGCGCTTCACAGGATATACTGCAAGATTAATTGACTGTGTTACTGCAGAGCTGAATCTCCCGAAAACACTCTGCCACCAATTATAACCAAACCTATCAACAGGAATCGTACTGATTTATTTTTATCTTAAGAGAGCAAGCGGGTAATCCTATCCCCTCCCTCCGATACCTACGAGGTATTCAAAATCTTAATTTTCATTCCTAAGGGAAGAAAAACACCTGTCAAAATCAAATCCTTATTAGCTCAGTGGTTAGAGCACTCGCTTCACAAGTATGAGGACCTGGATTCGATTCCCGGGAAGGGAAAAAGTCGGGCAAGTTTCCTTCCTCCGCATGTCTCTGTTTATCTAGCAGTAAGTAGGAACCCGGTTGTTAGTCGGTTAACGGATCGCTTTTCCGGGGATAATAATTCCTTCATTCCACAACTATTTGTGGGACACAGCTGTACACGTGTTTCGCCCACAAAATACACAGTCAATTCACTTCACGGTATATTCTGTGAAGCGCTTTGAGACGTCTCGAAGACACGATGAGGCGCTGTATCAAATGCAAGGATTATTATTATAATCTCATCTTTGGGAACTTTTCTATTAATCTGGCCGATCACCTTCAATAGCTCTAGTCAAGACCAGAAGAAAGAGATTCGATAGCTGCAATTTTAAAACCTAAATATGTTGATTTGGTCCTTTTTTTAAAAAAAAAGAAACAATAGTCAAGGAGCGTGAGGTTGGGCTGCTTCATTCTTCCCGCTGGTATTACACACGGCCCTGATATTGTAACGCGTTAGATTTACCTTTAAAGTCAACTGGTGCCAAAGTGTTATTTTTCTTAAAAGCGGTGTTTCTGAACAAACACCCACCCAAAAAAAACTAGCTCTTCAGATGGATGTAATAATGACAATAATAACTGATACAGCACCTTGCTTTTTCTGTCAGGAGGTCGTCTCAAAGTGCTTCGCAGGAATTACCGTAAAATGTAGTGTCTGTACATTAAGGAGTTCCATAGCGTGTTCACCTCACAAGCAAGAAGGCCCGGGAGTTTTGATTCCCAGGCGAAACCTTAGGCAAGTTTCTTTACTCCGCACACCTCTGCAATCTGGTTGTTGATCAATTAGCGGATCGCTTTCGGGGTAATAATCCCCCCCAAAAAATTGGTTACTCAAACCGTGACTGTTTGTGGGGCACAATTGGTTGCTGCTTTCGACCACGAAACGCACAAGTCAATCCACTTTACAATATATTCTGCAAAGCGCTTTGAGACGTCTCAAAGACGCGATGTATCAAATGCAAGGATTATTATAATATTATTATTTTGAAGGAATAATGTAGACCAGTTATTCCAGAGGGACTTTGATTTGATAGGAGATTCCAGCTCTTATACTGGTGAGAGAGCATTCGGGGCCATTCCCAAATCCTAAGCAGAGTCACACTGAAAACATTTTACAACTGTGTATTTTTTTATTTCTTTATGGCGCCTTCCACACATCTTCTTCCCGTTTTCTTTTCAGGTGGTGTTGCAAGGACACCTTTCGGGAATTCGCGCTAATTAATAATTTCGTTCGCTGACGTGCTGTTCTCTCGGTCAGATTAGACGAAATTGGTTAAGATTGGTGACTGAGTAACTCGAGCATCACAATTTGTAAGACTTTTGGGGGGGAATGTGGGAGGGAGAAAAATTAGCTTTTTGTATATCACGAAACTTTCATTTCGCCCACAAAAGTACGCAGTGTATCCTGTGAAGCGCTTTGAGACGTCTCAAGTACCTGATAAGGCGCTATATCAAATGCAAGGATTATTAATAGTATTATTATCAGTACTTACAAGTGTGATTTTTAGTTGTGTTGATGCTCTAGAAAAAAGACCAGTTTAAAACTAGGCGTAAAGAATATATATTTTTTTATTTGATTGACAACTTGAACGCTGACATACAGCACAAAATAAATAAATTAAATGCAGAAAGTAAGGAAGGAACGAGTGGTTGGAAAAGACTATTTCAGCTGAAACAATAACAAATTAGGTGTCTTAGTTGAAACAATCCTGACCAACAAAGCCATCATTCATGGTAGATAAATACTTAGAATTTAAAGCATAACGACTTAATGCAGCTTAATGAGGAAGATATCTTAATATGCGTGTTCAGTGACATGTCAAGCTGTAAAACAGTCGCTCTGACCCTCACTCAGGCAAGGCAACCAGTGTAGTGGGGGGATGCTCTCCAGATTTCTCTGCACGACAAGGTCGCAATTGGGTCGTTTGTCCTTCAAACGCGGCCTCCAGAGTCAATCATTCACTTTATTGTTTCCTGGTTGAGGCCAATGATTTGTGTAATCTTCGGCAAAAGCGGGGAAAACAAACCATTAGGTCTCATCAACTAAAGCTGCCTCCTACACCTAATGATGGAGAGTGTGTGTGTGTGGGGAGGCAGATGTAATTATTACGGTTGCGGCAGGAAGTGGAGGTGATGCTTCCAGCTCACAGAAACCTTGATCGCTTCTGGTGCTGCGGTTTCTCAGCTTCTCCAATTCCCCTTCCAAGGTAAAACAGAACAGACAATTTATCGCCTGTTTTAGTTTGCAACACATCCACCTCTGCCCCACCAACCTCAAAGTCCCAGAGAGGAGAAAAAGTTTCTGGACTTTTCCTTATTTTTTTATATTAAAACAAAAGCACTTTTTGCAAAGTATGTTCGGTTAATTGACGTTGTTTCAAAACAAATACCCTGGGGCAAACATAATCGAAATAAGATCTTTCAGGAAAAGAAAATTGTGATTTGTATGATACAAATATACATTTATTTGGCAACGTGGGGAGGATGTCCCAAGATGTTGGACTATCTAATGTTAGACAACAACAGCAACTTGTGTTTATACGCCCCGGAGAGTGGGAGAGCACGACACCGAACAGGGAAAGGGGGAGATGACCGTAAGCACGGTCAAATAGGAAGGTCTTCAGGCACGACCTGAAAATGGGGAAGGAATGGAGAAGCAAGGGGCAAGGCGGAGAGATAGAGGAAGAGTTTTGGGACGTAGTTGCTGAAAGTCCGGCCACCAATGGTGGAACGGAGGGCACGAAGGGTCATGCAGAAGGTTGGATCCAGTCAAGCGGAGGCAGCGGGTTGTGAGTTAGTGAGGGTAAGACTTCAGCAGGTTGCGTAGAATAACATTGTCGGAGTTACATTACCACACTAAAAAAAACCTGTCTGATCCACCTGGTCTATGCAGGTGTTTATACTCCACACAAGCTTCCGCCTCTCCTAATCCCCTCTCCTATTCCCCTCGACTCCCCTTTGCCTCATATGTACCACGTATTTGGAAGAGCCAAATAAATCTGATATTGTATGTAGTTTATGGTGTTGCCCACAGATAATGACTGCCCTTGGCTAATAGTTATTTTAAATGAAATGTGCTCATCTTGCAAAGGTATGTCAGGCTCCCTTGCGGAAAGGAATCAGTTGGATTGTCCTGAAAATATAATAAATTGTACATGAATTAAAATAAGGCAACTGAGGATTGTTTTCGCCCGACGTGAAAGGTATTGTACAACCAAATTTATATTGTGCTGGGTTTCAGTGCTCCGAGACACTGTCCTGGGCTATATAAATGCAGGGTGGTGTTGTGTTTCATAAGGATAACATTTGAATCGCTCCAAAACGTCGATGAAGATGTTTTGCTGCTGCTACAGGAATCAGTCTTGTCTTCAAGCCT